AAAAATCACACATATTTGAGAGGTATCTTAATACTTTCTCTATACATAGGAGAAAAATATAAAAATTTATATTAGTACATATATGGATAAGGAGTTCTTAAATCACTTCTTCAAATGATAATCTCCATTACTTGATTAAATGTAAAGATTTCGATTCATCAAAAATCAAGATTAACATAATCGTCATTGCAGAAGAAAAATTACTGAATTTTTAAAACGCTATATCTCTCCACTAAATCGTCCGATTCAGAAATCGTCGATTTTTCTTAATTTGTAGAGAATTCAGGAAGCTTTTAAATGATCATGGGTATTATCCAGCAAAAATTGTATACTTTTTGAGTTATAAGTAAATATAGTTCTGAATCCATCTTAACTTTTTTTTCATCCTCTTTTCGGGGAAGCATGAATTGAACGAACTTCAAGGAGAATACTTTAACCAAGTTTTATAAAAATCGTTTCAGCTGTTTAGGCGCTACAATCTGTAGCGACACCCGTCTTTCCGAAATGAAAAGCTGGATGGTTATTAAATGTATATGAAAGCACTCCTGAATCCGATAGAAACGTTGTGTCGAAATTTCAAAGCAATCGGTGAAGAACTTTCGGAGATTAGCATTACTTATAAACAAACAATTAAATTTGTATTTATATCGATTTTGAGACTTATGTTACATCAAGAAATAATCGATTGATTTCGCGTTTGCAAATTCGGTGATGTCCACGTATATTTATCAATATCCTTATGTTTAAACGTACCACTTTTAATTTCCAGAAAGCAACGTTTACCATCCGAATTCTGTTATCCCAATACTCGTGCAAACATTCTTTACCTATTTTCGGAAAATAAACTTCTTCCCTTCCCAGCTTAGCGTTCTTGTCTTCTGCATTTTCATGCAGTTTAGAGGTAGTTTATGAGAAACCCACTCGAGTTTATCATAAAATTCTCATTGGACTTCATCATAACTGTTTTTGGTCGAACAATGAATATTTATCAACGCTATTGAACCAACTATCCAGAAATATGGCTATCGAAATTCTATTACTGAAGAACTGGACAGCAATCTATTCCTAGTTAGAAACCTGGTACCTAAGCAATGATTTCCGCTTCCTCTGTCCATTTCCCTTCCCTTATCAAGCCAGTGAACTTGCAGTGCCAGGATATCAATATACCTGCTGTTTTCCAACTTCTAATGTTACATACCCTTTTATCCAAATCCCTAATTTTCAACTTATGTCATGAATTCCCAAAAGCAGTCCCCACCAGGAGACCTGAACAGGGGACTGGTATACATCTGATGATGAGTATGTTACCTTAGGAATATCCATAACTATTTGATGAACTAAAGATATGTGTGTTGGACATTCAATCCAATGTCATATCCTACAGCAAGCTTGGGTGCCGCTCTATACAGAGAGGAATTTCCAACGACCATCTCCACATCTGCGACGCTCTCCTACATGGAAATGGTATCCAAGGAAGCCTTATAATTAATTTATAAAATCCTTCAGGTAGGATGTAGCGGCATTACGAACTTTCTCCAGACATCTTGATCTCTAGCAAGCTCCTTGACTCTAGACCAATATATAGTATAACATCATATTATATAATTTGTTCTTTTACAGTAATAAAAAAAAAAACATCCCAAATTAAAACTTAGATTCCTTACTGATTTCTGGTATGTAAGAACTTTCTGCATGTAACTTTAGCAATCTAAAAAGTCATATATGAAAATAAATTTTTTTGAGATGGACAACATATTTAATAAAAAAAATAATGTATCGAAACTGATGTTCTACTATGATTTTTACTTTCCTAACTATACTAGGTAAGGAAAGTATTGCAATCTGGTCAAATTTCCGACATTCGGGTTTTCGACGGGTCTAGACGTTTCAGAGCCCCCTGAATCCGAAAAACAAATTTTTAGCCATTCGTCTGCCTGTCTGTGCCAAGATAGTCGCCGTTTAGCCTGTCGTTCTAAAGGTAATGCAATTCCCCACAAAGCCATATAAAAATCGTTCATTTTGAACAACTATTAACGAAGTTACAGCTATTCAATTTCTAATGTAAGATTACAGTTTCATATCCTGGTGTCACAAAGGGATGAATGAGAGAATAAAGATGACTAAGTGAAAGTAAGAAAATCTGTTGCCCTCATCACACAATCTTCACTATTTCCTCTATTTTTATCAGAAATTATCTAAATTATAATCGAAATTATTGTTTGACAATGCTAAGCTATGGCAAAAAGTTTTTGATCAGCCATATTAGGAAGTATTGAAATTTTTACACTGATGTACCTTAAGCCGGTTTACATTGCTTTAGTTTATCAAATAAATCGTACTCAAATCTTATGTTTGATCCATTTTCAGGAAAAAGTATCTTGTTCAATTCTTTTTGAACACATGTAAAGATATAAAAACTTTTCTGAAATAGGTAGCAAAGTCATGTGAGTGGACACACCTTGCTTAAAAATAAAGCAATTTGTGATTTTGATGTTCTTTAAAAAATAAAATAGATAGCTATGATTGAAGAATACATGGAAAAATTGAGTTATTGGTTGATTAAAATAGAATAAAGAAAACACTAACACCTTATCAGCTTCGATGTTCAAAAGTTCTTTCCCTGAAAAAATAACTACAACTTGGAATAAAAGGCAATGTCCAAATTTTAAATTCGTTTTGCTCTTATTCAAGTTTTTTGGAAAAAGTTTATTTTTCCATAGTGGTCTTCGGCAGGGTTTTCACTTTGGTGAACAAGTTCTCTTTCTAGGGAAGTTCCAAGGTTGGGATAAAAGGAAAAAATATTTACCAATCAAAGACTAATTACAATTTAATCTATTTTTGTTTAATAATATGTATAAGTAAAACAGACTTAAAAGTAGTAGTTAAAAGACACTGGTCTAACTCAACCATTCCATCCTCAGTTAAGAGATATGTCATGTCATCAGACATAAAAGATATGTTATCCCTGCAAACACCTATGTCTGAAAGACATGTAAGAGAGGAATAAATAAAAAATAAAAGGAGTAATTATATATAATATTTTGTATATATTTGGTTGGACATGATTTTTTGGTTCATTCTGAGGGAAGACTGACAAACCAAATGGAAAAAAAAAATATGTTGGAAAAGCTGGTCTTCAGTTAAATTGTAAACATTAAGATGAGATGCATAAACGGGAGGTGGTTGAACTTCTTATTATCTAAAAATATTGTATATCAATAACAAATTACAATAATAACTACAAAGGAGTCACCCAAAAATGATACTGCTACATGTGAATAAAGAACTAGTACTCAATTTAAATTTTCTCAATTATTCTAGGAAAACATATTGCACTTTGAGTTCTTCACCATGAAGATATTTTCTTTGTGCATTTACAGTTCTAAAGTAACAGCTACATCTCCATTAAATTTTAAAGAAAACAGTAATAAAGGAGACAGTTATAAATTAAGGACAAGGGTAATAAAAAACTGAAGAGAGATAAATACTATATTATCAACAAGGCAGCAGCCCAACGCAACTGAGTTACCATACACATACCATACTTTAAATATTGTTAAACAACTTTTAGAACTATTCATTATTCAAACTATTCAAATATTCATTTTCTTTTAATTTTATTATTTATTTATTTATATTTTCTACTAAATACATTCTCTCCATTAACTGATATAAACCTTTTAATGCATCATGTTCAAGATGTCATTTAAAAATAAATATAATATTAAACCTACCTAATAATTAAATATTAAATATAATAACAGTTAACAAACAAATATCTAGAATAGCATAGCACAAAAATATATAAATTACAATAAAATTTAACAATTATTTTCATATATGAAAAAGCATGCCCATGTACATGTCCCTAATTCTTGCTATTTGTGTTTAGAAGTTTCTATTTTATGTTATTTGTTTACTTTTTTTTTCTTTTATTTTCTTTATTCATCAGTATTATTTATTTACTTTTTATATTTATTTCTCTATTATGTGTATATATTGTATGAATGAGAACTCTTAGCCCTAATACTTATAGCCCTCCAGCAGTGGCTGATTGTATTATTATTCAATAAATAGATTAAAAAAAAAAAAAATCTTGCTATAACAACACACCTGTGAAAGCAAGTTGACAACACAAAATGTTTATGAAATATATAATTAATGGGATAAAAATGTATTATTTATAAATAAAATTCAAGTGTAATAATCCATAAAAATAACAGCTTAAAATTCTATTTAATTAAAAAAAAAAATTAATATCTTCATTTCAAAATAACCAACACTTTTAAACCCATGAACTGATGTCTGAACATCTCTACAAATTCCAGTACCATAGACCTTTCATGGTTTATTGATAGACAATTTATTTCTTACTATAAGCTATTTGTTACTAAGTAGTTCGACGGACAAGTACAAGTTTTCCCGAGGCCCTGACCAGATAGGTGGCAATTAGAATTAAGTTTATATTTAGAATTTCTTCTTCTTCTTTGAACTTCCCTCAAATGGTGAGGTGTGGGATTAAGAGTATAAACTTGATGGATATTTAGAATAAATGATATGTATGATTTCCTTAAAACTGTGTTGTTATCAACCACTAATAGCAATCCATAGCTTTATAGAATCAATTTTCAACAACAGTTTCTTTCTTAGTAACTAGATATAGAAATTTTGTTAATTCTTTAAGTTTGCATAGTATCCCTTCAATTTTAATTAAACTACATTCAATTATGTCATGAAACTACATTATGCCAAGTTCAGACCAACATGAAGAAAAAAAAAATCAACACCAAAGAACAGATGATTAATTTTCTGTTTCATATAGGTATAAAACCTTGTTCAGAGAGTCAATATAACTATCTACAATTTTTTTAAAATATATTATACTTCTTGAAACTTAAAAATATAATTTTTTTTTTTAACTTAAAATATATATACATCTATAAGGTCCATAATTATTACAAAAATTCATTACAAAATTTAAGAAAAGTCAATAAAGTTTATTAATTAACAGCAATTACTGCTAACACTAGGCTAATAAATACCATTAAGGGTATTCGATTAAACAATGGTAAACAAGACGAAGAAGAAAAAGGGTAAAAAAAGTCCTGAGGTAATTTAATCTTCACAACTGGAGGGGTAGCAAACTTACTAAGTGCTGGTTGACTAACATCAGTAAATGATACAATACTCAACAAACGGATATTGCAGAAAAACAAAGATGTTGAACAGTCTATGAAGCGCTGACCCCCAAGACGTGATGATACACCAATAATATTTGCTTCTGGTTGCCATAAAGGGCCACTGTAGGAATAGAGGAAGTCTGTCAACAATGAAGTAGAAACTGAGCATGGTTCATTGGCAGCCGTATGCCAAAGATTTATAGGAACAGGTACTGGCCGCTTTAGCCATGTGTCTGGATCTCCGCTAGCACCGATCATATCTCCATTCCCTTGCATGAGCAGAAGCTTAGCGATCTGCATAACAAAGTCAATTTTTCATTATATAACCACAATGTATTAATCATAGATATTTTATTAAATCCATACCTGATAATATTTACAATTCTAATAGAACAAATAAGGAAACATTTAAAATGTATATATTTATCAGTTTGTCCATATAGCATTGCCGCTTCTCCAAATACTTTATTTCGAATAATGGTTTCTCCTGAAGATTTTATTCTCAAACAAAAATTATAGACCTTGAAATACAGGTAATTGTGCAGCCAAGGAAAATGGTGAGGCAGCTATACTGACCTTACTTGGCAGACTTTCTTTATTTTTTATTGGATATTAATCAGGATGGTATTTAAAAAAAAATTCTCATTAGTGAATACTAATATTAATATAAAATAATTCTTAGCATAATTCAGTAATTTATTTGTGGCCAACAAGATGTTTTGAACCATTATTGCCACAAAAATTTCAAAATTGAAGATAAAAATAAGCTTTCATAAATTCCTAAAATCTTCATATTTCAAATTAATTTACATTTTTTTTAGTTTTTTTTTTCATGAAAAATCAGAAATAAAAATTAATTATTAGATGAAAATGATGAATTATAAAAAACCAATGATTTCTTCAAGCAAACTAAGAAATAGAAATTTCTGTTGGAGAAACATTATACAAGCAATTACGGGGAAATATTTCATACACAAAGTCATTTTTGAACATGTTAAAAACAGCGGAGAATATAAAAAGCTTTATTTAAAAGTTATTCAATTATAAATTTGATTTATAAATTAAATTGTAAAACGAACACTAGCAATCCAATACGTTATAGAACGAGTCTTAGGATTTACTTATAAATTTTACCAATTTTTATAATAAAATGAATAATTTCTAGTCAATGTTAATATAACTGAAATGTTAAGGAGCGAGTGAAGTATATAAAGAAAAAAAAAGATCACCTCATCTGAAAGGCGTGTGCAATTTCTAGCTGACTCCGATGGTATTTGCAGAATGCACTGAGTTCTACTATTTTCTCCAAACAGTATATCAGTTGATTGTGAACAATTCGGACCACTGATTACAGTTAAATAATTTTTCTTAACAACTTTTCCTTCCTTAAAAAAAAAAAAGGATAAAATAAAAACAAATCTATTACAAACAGATTTATGTATATAAATTTATACTTTGTAAAATTTGATGTAGTCGATGTTTTTAAATTAATATAATAATAAAACTTCAATTATCCAAATTTATTTTTTGTAAGAAAAAAGGGAATTAAATGCACCTACTAATGTTTCAATCGATGGGAACAGTCCATACACTACTCGTATCTACTGAAGATGAAAAATAGTTATCAATTTATTTTAACAAATTAATTTTAAAAATTCTTGCAATTTGAATAGAAGACACTTTTTCATCTTTCAGTTAGTTACAATTTATGCAGTATTGATACTATAAATAAATTTCTGAGGTCTAATTTTAATAAGAACAACCTTTAATTCTCAGAGCGAACCTGGTAAAATTGGTGATCCCTTTATATATGAATCTGAAGCCATTGATATTCAAGAGTGTCATATCCGGTCTAAATAATTTCCACTCCAAAATGGATGAAACCAAAGGAAAAAGGCTGACAATTTATATTATTTTGATTTTTTTAATATATATTTTTAAGAAAATGTATATTTCATTCACAGTTGCCAACTTCAATTCATACAATATATCAATGAGCAAAGGAATGGGATAAGGGAGTTTGGTCTCATTATGTCAGAACTAAGGAGTGTAAATAACACCATACATAAATTAACATTGTGACATAAATTATCATCGTTATTTGCCATTTTTCCTAAATATTTTTTAATTTTCTATTGTTAGACATAAATTTTTCTTCTTATTTTTTTGTTTGATATTTTAAACTTATGTTCTTAATTTTAACAGGGAATAAATGTTTGGTTTTCATAACAGTTCAGTTTTATGCTCACACTGCTGCCATCAACTATTAAAACAGCCAATATTTCCATAAAGTAGTCTTACAAAAAAATAAGTCCAATGTTTTATGATATAGAGCTTTAAGGGGACATGGGAACAGTTTGAAACTATTATTTGCACTGAATTAGTGTTAGACCTCAGTAAATTTAATTAAAAGTATGAAATATTCAAGGTCTCTTTTTATTAATTATTTCTGGATTATAAATTAAAGTTTTCACAATTTTTATTCGAAAATAAACAAAATAAAACCCAATCCTCTTATATATTAGTACACTAAGGCTCAAAATAGGCTTTGTATCAAATATAAGCTCCTATCATGCTCTAATGCCATAAATGAGGTACTGTTGGATTCTTAATTTCACTAACGGTTAGCAAATCGTACTCTCCACTTTTGTTTTTCTTTCTAAAATAAAAAAGTGGGAAAGCGATTAGTTGGTGGATCGAGGCAGGACAAATTGAATTGGGATTTAGACATCAAGAACCTGGTCCCTTCGGAACTACCGGGCTACTGCTTGAACACCTTCAGTACTGGAAACATGTCCTGATGATGACCCACATGCTATGTTGAAAGCTTGGCAACAGTAAAAAATGTTCACAATCGCAATACTTTCCCTTATTATATATATAGGTAAGTAAAAATCTTAAAATCACTGCGTCCTGATTATTCATCACCTATGATAAGAAAAATATTTTTTTTTTAAGCTTATTCAACTAATTTAACCATTTTTTTTTTTTTTTTTTTATAATTCACTAATAAAATTCAGAACTGGTACATTTATAGTGGATAAATAACACAAAGTTATCAAAAACACTAATAAGTGGTTAAATTACTGAACCTGTAACGATCCAGTGATAACAGGAAGCCCAATCCTGTAACCTGGAGTGCCAGATCTCTTAAAAATTACAGATGTATTAGACTGACGAGCAGGGAAAAATTCTACTTTAAATTTCCTTTGAAATAGTGGTCTGTGAGGATCCGTAGAACTCAAACCAACACGACACCGTGCATGAGTTATACCTCGGCTCCCATTATGTTTGATTTCTAAATCCACACTAGTTATCAAATTCTTACAAACATAAGTCGATGAATCAAATTCTGGAACAGGGAATGAATCAACTTCATTGCACCCACCTTCATCACACAACACATATTTTATAGTAATGAGAGCTTCATCTGGGATCTCCTAAAAAAACATGAAAAATGAGATAAAAATAAGCAATGCATTAAATGCTTGTAGGAAACACACCGGTATTATGTAATAAATTCAAAAGAGCCATTAATTTAATTGATCAACTAGAAACTTCTGTTAAATAAAAACTAATAAATAACCATTAGTATACATAACTGTAAACTTCTAAAAATATATAATAATTCCAAATGTTTGTCAAAAATAGTTTTCAGAACATTTAAATTTAACGTTACTTATTTATATTTTCTATTAAGTATTAGTCACACCTCTCTAATTAATTCAATAGGATAATGAACTTTGTGATAATACATTAAAACATTTGATAAATTGGACTAGTGAGCTTATGTAAGTAGTGAAAAAAAAAAATTAATTATTAACGAATGGAAAATATGTGATATATAAGAAATATAAAAAATTAAATATGAATTATATTAAATCAATATATGATTAATGTTAAAAAATTAGACTTCTTTTAATCCCAGTTTTTGTATTTAAAAATAAAAACTATACCATTAAAAGAGTCTTTTTTGTATAAATGTTAATCATACATTGATTTAATATAATAATCATTAAAGGATCTCACAAAAAAAATGAACAACCTAAATAAGGTTGTTTATCATAATTATATGGGAAGTTATAAAGAGACGGTAACCAAATACTAAGGTCAAAGCTGACAAAATAGAATATGAAGTAAAAAGCCACTTTGACTATAAATTCTTCCAAACCCAGCTCATTGTTTATCTATAGCAAAAGAGAAACTACCATTCAAAATTTTAAATTATCTTGTTAGTGACCATTAAAAATTGTTTTTTAAAATATTTTTAATACCCACAATAATATATTTACTAAGAAATAATTACTCAAATTTGTATTTTATTACCTCCCTTTCCTCCCAAAAAAAAAACAGTTTCATGCACATGTTTGTTTAACGTAACTATTATTCAAAAGGGATTTCATTTAAAAATGGAAAATATAATATTTTAAATCTTTATATATAATTAAGCATTGTAATTGAATTATTGTTTGCTTGTACTATAACTAATTTAGTTTCAAATTAGAAAGATAAAAGGTTTTACTTACATATGTGTTATTTACTAATGATGGGGAAGAAATTAGAACTTGACCGGGATAATATTTTCCTGACTGATAAAGACCATAATTAACACACTCTTCCTCGTACATGGGAGTACTTTCCAAACATAGGCTCTCAAAATTTTGTAAATATAGAATAAGTTTATTCTGGCCACATACAGAGGATGCCAATGGAGCAGGGTAGGCTGAAAATTTTAATTATATAATATAAAAATCTGGTGTTCACATCACAAAACTTTCACTTATCACCTTTTTTTTTTTCAGAGAAAAAGGTATTTTCAGGCATAGGGAAGTGAAAGTAAAAATTACAGACAGTAAAGTATGTTTTTCACACCCGTCCTTTGTTTTATATTTATGGTTTTTTGGACACTAACTAATTCTTATATCTGTATATCATTATATAAATAGGCAAACACAAAACTCTTTTTCTCCTCTATTATTCAACCGATTTTCTTCCTTCTTTTTCTGTTTAATAGTTATTGACAAGCTTTAGTGTCATCATTAAAAGCATGAAATAATGTATATAAATAAAAATATAAATGTTAGTTTGTTCAAAACAGCTAATCTCCAAAAGTTCTTCACTAATTTCTTTAAAATTTTTATACAATGTAGCAATCAGATTTAGGAGTGTTTTTGTATAAATTTCATTATCATTCAGTCTTTCTTTTCGGAATGGCTGATGAAAAACGTGATTCGCTTTAGACTATAGTGTCAAAACAGCTGCAACGATTTTAATGAAACTTGGCTAAAGTCTTCCCCATGAAACACTTATAATTTATGTAAGTAACGTACTTGCCCAGAAACAAGCTGCATACATTATTATGATGAATTCAGAATTTTATTTGCGAATAACTCAATAACTCAAAAAGTACACAACTTTTGATTGATAATACAATATTTATTTAAAAGCTTTAAAAAAAAAAAAAAAAAAAAAATTAGTTTACTTTTTCTTTTGTTGATTTCTTTTATTTTGGTTTTTGATAAATTGAAAACTTTACATTTACTGAATCGGAACTATTATTTGAAGAGGTGATATCATTGAATGTTAGTGGAGAGCCACCTCATAAAATAAAGTTAAATTCAATATAATTCAATATTTATGCTCATTCGTAACTTAAATACTGCACAAACTTTAGTTAATGGAACACGAATGAGAGTGAAGTATTGACGGGAGTTGCTGCAAATAAAATAATTTTAATTCCAAAAATTAATTTCATTCAAAGCAGATAAAGGAATAGAATTAGTAAATTAATAATATAACATACAATTATTGAGTCAAACCATAGAAATATTACAGAAGTCATCATTAAAAACCAATATTACATATATAGTTGAGCCCATGAAATTTTCACATCACAGTGAAACCACATTAAAAGGGAACAAATACACAAAGCAGGATATGACATTAAGTCTAACTACCATATAAACAATTCATCATAAGTTCTAATAATTATATATATAATGCATAAATCAAGATTGAAATAGATTTATTATGACAACAACTAACGTAAACTCACCCAATTGTTGAACTGCATTAGTAGAATTTACAAAGACCCAAAGCGGATCACCGTATTTGTAGACATCCCTTTTACTCAACTTGATAAAAAGTGGAGGATGAAGAATTCTCCAATAGTAATGCCTGTTTCTTTGCCAAACTTTTTCAAATACACTTTCAGATTTGATTATCTAAAATAAAAGAAAAAAAATATGGCAAGGAAATAATTGACCGTAGTTCTAATTGAAGAAGTTGGTTGGGGGGAAGGTGTAGTCAATACTAAATATAGTAGTAGCGTTTATTATATTATATATAAATGATACTATATATATATATATATATATATATATACAAAGAAAAACTCCTTTTCTGCTCTTAAATTTTATTAGAAAGTAAATGGAAATGATTTGAATAAAATGTTCAAGATTTTTTTTTAAATCAACTCAAATTTTTTTTTTCATCAATCAATAATGAATTTTTTTTTTTTCAGATCTGTAATGATTAGAAAGCAAGAAAAACTAGCGTACTTTTATTTAATATAAAACTTACTCCTTGATCTAAATACCAGTTTCTTTCGGGAAAATTGTCTTTTGATATACAAAAGAATCCATCTTCTGATTTGAGTATTGTGTAAGGTGTGTTGTTTTTATAGATTATGCTCGTAGAAATACAATGACCAACAGTGGGGATTGTCTTTGTCATGATACATTCTGAAAAAGCATCTCTCTCCCATTTACTACAGTCCATATCACAGCAACAATTAATGTTACAAATTCCTACCTAGAAGAATAAACGTTATTACCAACCAACAATCAATAAATATGACTCTTTTTTTTTAACATAACAAGAAAGCATAGAGCACAAATATCCACTTAAGACTTAAAGTGATATACAGAGGAATGCTTTGCTTTTCCCTCCCTTGTCTAACTATTTCAGACAATGGAGTAACCCTTCATTCCTTGGGTATATTTCAATATAAATTTGAAACTTTATTTATATGCAGGTTATGGTTTATTATTTTTTATGAACCATTATAACCGACCAAGATAAAGAAAATGAATTTCTATTCTTATGTTACATTACACTTACTTGTTTCTATATAATAATGCCATTTGTTCATTAGTGTGAACAATTTATAATTAATTTAACATAATGAGTGAATTATTTGCACGGACCAACTTGTATTCACCACCACAAGTATAATCATATTTGTAGAAGAAAAGGTATCTAATTACAATAAAATAAGAAGAAATTGGAGAAAATGTTTATTGAGGATTTTTTGTATCAAATTGAGTCAGTTGATCAAATTTTCTATTATAGAGGTCGTGATGGCCGAGTGTGTTAAAACATAAATTTTAACATTCTCAAGTCTCACGATGCCAGTTCTAGGCAGATTAAAATTTATTGTGCGGCAGGCTCAAATAATGAATCTCGACCTTCCCACTCTGGTTAGAATAGGTATGGTTGTACCTCTAGAACAAACCTCCTGCCTGTTCCATAAATGGTGAGGTAGGAGTATCAATAAAAAAGAAAAAAAAAGTTTTCTATTATAGACATTATATTCTATTAATTAGTAACTTTTATTTATAACTTACTGTGATATCACAAGAACAAGGCTTTTCGGTCGAACTATGCTCCTCTCCTTTATTAGCATCAATGGGTATAGATGATGTAGTACTAGTTGTTATATTAATAGTAGGTTCAGTTATTAAAGCAGGCACTGTTGTTAATTCATTTGGACTGTCTGAATAGAATATAGAAACTTGATCGGTGGTCTGTTCTGAGTAACAATCAGATGTAGAATTTTCACATATCGATAATTCAGAAGTTCCTATTTCTTCAATTTTTATATCTGTTTCATTTGCAATAATGAAAACCTCACAAATGAGAAAGTATGTAATATACTCATGAAAAATCATTTTTGTCATATGTTTAAAAGACTTAATACTAAATATACAACTTAATAAGTTTCAACACCATATTTCTGAAAGTTCTTCTGAATCACATTAAGCTCCAAAATGACCGATCCCGTTGGCTCAGTATTCAATCTAAATCTATCGGCACCACTAAATATGATTTCAGGACTTCGTAGCTGTGGACCACCACCAATGAAATATTCCGTGAATTTATCATAAAATTTACCTGCAATATGAAACAATTTAAAATTAATTTAGAATGAACAGAGTTAACTCATAGAACTTTAAAACTACAACTCATAATATCAATAAGTTAAAATACAGAAATAAGTAAAAAATGTGGAGCAGCATGCATCACACAATTTTCACTTACCGAACTAAATAAATTTCTGCTCAAATAGGGCTAGTTTATATTTAACAATTTAAATTTATTATTGTGGCTAAAGCTACTAAAGGTTATTACCAAGTTTTATCAACCAGTAAACACTGCTAGAAATTTTCAGGGTCAATTTAAACAATTCCACAACAACAATTCGATGCAATATATATGTTTTGTTGGTGAAAGTTTGAAAATAATTTTAAAGTCTTTCATTTAGTTCTGAAATTTCATTTGGTTTCCTTGGAAATGTTTTGTTTCCTTCAAATAATATTAATTTTCATAAATTATTATTCATAATTTTTTTTATCACTCTTCATTACTTTCTATGTTTCTAAAATACTTAGTTTCCAGTGATGTATTATAGATTAATAATCTTATTTCTAAATATATGTTTTTAATCTATAAAAATGAGTTTTCTTATTTTTTCTTTATAAAATTTTTGTGCCATAGAAGAATATTACCCAGAACCTTGAGAACTTATACTTATAAAAATTGCAGTAATTTAACCAAGAGTTTGTAACTTTAGCATAAAGGAAAATATTACAAATTAAAGAAAATATTACTAACCATGAGGTTTCCATGTAGGACAGACAATTAAATGTGTTCCTGGAGATGTAGGTACAAAAATATATCCATAACCACAAACTTCACTTCGTCCAAATTCATCATAATGAAAAATTTGCAAATGAATTTTAGGCCACCCTGTTCAATATTATTATCAGATAAATAATTATTAACATATTGTTAAATCACAATAAACTATATTTCCATATATTGTTAAAAATAAATATTAAGAAAAATGTACATTATAATAATGTAGAGATGGTTGACCGTTGATATAATATGAGAAGGAGTTAATCGGGAGGAGGGGGGGTGAGGTCAAATAAATACTAAATTAAAATATAATAATTATTTAATTTTTGCCGACGTTTCGACCCACTTTGCAGGTCATCTTCAGGGCGTAGGATATAGCACTGGGCAGAAGAAATAAATTATTTATTCATAATTAAATAATTTTTTATTCATCATTCATTTAAACACAAACATTTTAACCTGAACCATTTAGGAGTTGAAATGAGACAAAGAACAAGAACACTATTCAAATCTTTTATGATTTTAAATAGACAAAAATAGAAAATGATATGGCATGATGTGATAATAATTGCAAGACAATTAGAAAATTGTGTAATACATGAATTGTTAATGTTATTAATTAATTCATTTATGTATACTATTTGATGTGTCATAATTATAGAGATGAATATGGTGTATGGGCACAGAAAGCTACTCTTTTAATAAAGTTGTAAAATAAAATACAGACTACCAATGGCAAAAAACCCTGATCTTATAAGAACATATAAAACACTCTAAAATTACCTAATAAAAACAAAACATATACAGTGGAGTCTAACTAATTCCTACCACTGTATAATACAAACCATTCCTATAAACAAAAAAAATTGAATATTTGATTTTAATTATTAAAATTTAATTGATTAAACATGAAGAAGTTCTACCGTGTTTAAAAAAAAATGCATCCAATGGGCAGAAGAAAATGATGTAATGCTAAATCTGGTGCATAATTTTTAAATTACATATCTTTGGAAAAATTAGACTGGGGGAAATATATTTAATACAGTTTTCTTTTGAATTCAGTTGTTATTTGAATTTTCAGATTCTATTGCTGAAGGATGTGGGGCCAGAGGTGTTGTAAAAGGATTTCAAGTTCGAAGCAAACAAAAATTTCATATTATTTCACAAGAAAATACAAATAAATATCTGAACAATGATTAATTATCATAAAAATATTTTTATGTGAATATATTTATAATTTTTGTTTTTAAATTAATTTGTTATTTATGAAGTTATCTTTTGTTTATCTTTTATTTATTCCATTAATCCAAGTTTGTTGATAATCGGAATTCCCGTGGTTTTAATTAGTCTGGATTAGCAAGAGTTCATATATATAATTGATTGTACATAATTCCATCTAAATATGAAAACAAATTTTGAAACAAAGTCACAAGGATTGATTAATCTAGGCTCTATAAAATTTAACTATAAGATACTTCAACTCTTATTCAGGTGAAATAAATATGTTCTTAGCTTATATTAGGTTAAAAAAAATTATATTAGGTAAGAAATTCTGTGAAAAAATTATTTTAATACCTGGTATGCCCTTAGTAGCAAAGTGTATATCAATTGGATGAGACCAATAAGTTACTTCATCATATCCTGGATGGTCAACTTGTGTTTGCCCTTCCTTTAGCCCTTCCAATAACTGCCATCCAGAACCTATGGTTTTCAAAGTGTTGAAAATAAGTGAAAAAATAAATAAATCATATTTTTTTTTTTAAATAATAAGTTTTTGTGTCTGAAATACTTATAAAGTAACAAAATTATACATTTTTTACAACAGAAAATTTCGTAAACTTTATTCAAAGAATGAACAAAGGCTATAATATGATTTACCAACGTGAATTCCCCATTTACAAAATAGACTCTTTTTACGAAAATTTTTAGCTCCAATAATTTGTCCAAAAATGTACAGCTCAGCCATCAAATAGGAAGAACCAGTTTAAATATCCAAAACATAACGTTTGTTTGTTTACTTCCGAGCGCCTAGGTAACGGATGCCAACTGTTGGGTCATTGATTTTCTTTGCATACAAAATTCAAAAATACATTTAATTTACTTGAAGGATTGAAAGATATTATAAAATTATCATCAAACATTTTTCTTTTTTTTTGTAATTTTTTTAAAAATAAGAGATCAAAGAACCCATGAAAACTCAATACACCTATCTTGCTAACCGGCAAGGGAGGTTTTCATATGCACTGAAGTATAGTTTTATAACAATAATTATATCTGAAATTCTGAATTTTTTTTTTTCAAAAATTGTGCATCCACCTATTCAGTATTATCCCTCCTACGTTACCGCACGAATTGAATATTCGATTTATATACGCATATATCTTATTGTTAAGTGTTTAAATTTTTTTTGTTTCCTATTTCGTAATTGACTCTCTTTTTACACTTAATGTCACCATGAAATGTCTTCGAGAGGTAGATTTGGTCCTTTGGTGGGAGCCATTGATGAAGGAACAAGTAGTGCAAGATTCCTGGTGAGTAATCTTATATTAATTTTCAGTTGATTCTTGGGAGTGATAAAGGATCTTATCATTTTTAATCAGAGAACATTGACTCTCTTATCAATCTGTCTGAAGGAGATATAAGTTACAGAAAGTTATCATATTTCATTTACAAAGTTAAGACCATTGAAGTTTTTGAATATCAGTTTTTATGGAATTGAATTGATGAGTCATAAAGTTTTTTTCAGACCCTAAATTTAATATGATTCTCAATTTTTGGTTCTATATTTGGTTTGGTTCACTTAGAAAGTGTGTAGCCCAACTCGTCCTCTTTAGAGTACTAACATTGTACTTTAGCTTTGTATCTAACATCTATGTTTTATATTTGATCGAATTAGGTGTTTTGTTTAGTATTACCAATACAGTACTATTTTTTTAAATCAAGAAGTATGAGGTTGAAATCCATGTTGTTGGACCAAAAATAGTACTCTTAATTCTTTAATATCTCATTTACGTTTGTAGTTCACTCATGTGGTTAGCTTCAAATGTCATAAAGTATTATATATTAATTTAATATTATATTTTCATCTTGTTCTCTTATACGTGATGAAGGCCTACCAAGAAGCTCAAAATGCAGGCACCCAACAAATACAATAAGTTCCCTGTGTAGTGTGTTTTTGGTTCTATTGAACACACCTCTACTCTACCCACTTTATGTATTCAAATAGAAACAAAATTATATAGATATATGCATGAACATATTTATTTTTTAAATAAGGAATTGTTTACCCTTTCTCACGAGATACTCCTATACCACTTAGAAATCCACCAAATCCTCTATCTTATGTCTATTCTTTATAGTGTCTATTCTTTGTAGTGATGTTACATTGAATGTAAAAATTATTTTAAAAAAAAATTTCTCTGTATTTACTCTGTCTATTTTTATGTTTCATTTATTTTATTTCAAACTTAAGTACGAACAAATTAGTTTCTGAGATGTTGAGAATTTTATGGATTAATTCTGTTATTTTGTTTGTTTAGGTGTTTGTTGCTGACACTGCGGAAGTTCTGACTTTTCATCAAATAGATATCAAACAAATATGTCCACAAGAAGGTTGGGTTGAGCAAGATCCTCTTGAAATCTTGCATTCCACCGTCGAGTGTATCAATGCCACTGTTGACAATCTAAGAAAACTAGATATCAATCCCAATGATATTGTTGCGACGGGTATCACAAATCAGAGAGAAACAACTTTAGTTTGGGATCCTGTAACAGGAGAACCATTATATAATGCTATTGGTTAGATTATTTATTTGATTTAATATCTATTAAAATTTAATTAACAAAAACAATTGATTGAATGATTTCTTAGAATAATTATATTTGCATGTGCAGTGAAACTCTTCTGTAGTAGATAGCCATAAGACATGTTCATTGTTTATTTCAGAGAGATTTCTATTAAAGATTGGAACAAAAAAAAAAGTTAAAGAAGAAACAATTAACATTTAACCTTATTGAAGGATTGTGTACAACCAGAAGATGGTTAGGAAGAGCTCATGAAAGAATCACAGAAAAATAAATTATACTGCTTTAATGTATCCCAACATTTCGCCCTAAATTGTAGGTCTTCATCAGGGTTGAAGTATACTACTAACAGATTATCCTATATCAATATTCTAGAAATATAGAAGGCTCTATTCCTACTTCTTAATTGCTGGTCTATGTCTGATCATTGATATGTGGAAGTTCAATTTACAGATATCCTGTAGTATATTGTCCTCATTCAAATTTTTCATCCAAGACTTCTCTCTTGTGAAAAAACAGTTTCTTAAAAAATAATAAAAGTAATTTCAAATAATATTGAAAAGAGGAATGAACTCCATTCTCCAAAAATATTTAATAGAATAGAATAGAATCCTCACATATATTATTACAGTAAGGCTAGAAATCAATTTTGTACCTAATATAAACTCCTATCATGCTCAAATACCATGAATGAGGTACTGTTGGATTCAGAATTTCATGGGGGTTTAGCGAATCGTACTTTCCGCTTTTGTTTTTCTTTCTAAAATAAATAAAGTCAATACAAACATTTTACTAGGCTTCAATACTGCAAAGGTGGTGTCTGTAGATCGAAACGGGACAAATTGGGTTTTGAGGATTTTGATGTGTACAGCAAGACCCGGATAGTTCCTTTGGAACAATCGGGCCCTGCTTTCTTTAGTCCAAAAACGTACAATTTTTGAGATAATGCAATGCAAAGGGTTTGCATCAACACAATCACGTTAATTGTATTACTATCATTGAATAAATGTCTCATCTTTAGAACTGCCTTTTTAAAATAGCATTATGTTAGAAAGTCTACTCCAACCATTTGGAATTACTTCGGTGGACAAGGTTCTATTAAAGAGAGCCTGTATATAAAGTTTCCGGTTTTTAGAAAGATTTGAGTAAAATTCATAAGAGATGAGGTCTTTCTCTTATGAACTCTTACCTTTCTTGCCACTTAAAATTTCCATTTTGACTTCAAATGATATATCAGAATCTAAAAGTGGATGAAGAATCCCCGTAAAGTTGGTTTCTAAAATAATTTTTGGAGGGAATAAATTTGCAAAATAAAAGTACCACTTCACCAATTATGAGACATGCTTGAGTTTTTAGGAAAAGTCTTAATTTTTTACCAACATATTTTTGAATTTGGCGATGACATTAATTTATCATTCACTGACTGTAAATAATGGCGTTTTTTGCTTTTGACTAAGTTTTTAAATTTTTCTTTATTTTTATGTAAATCTTCACTAGACTAGCTGAAAAACACTATATCTTCCATTGTCTAAATGCTTTCCTAACACTGGAGGTTTTCATCTTAAAAAAATATTCACTGCTAACAGACTCTTTGCCACTGAAGTTTATGAGGATGTATGTATGAACGGTTTGAAACACTCTGCTGATGAAAGGCATGAGGGAATGTTTAACATTAATTTTAAAGGGAAGTGTTCAGATGCAGTATGCTTAAATTCAACCATAAGATTTATGATAAAATCCATATCTGTCTACACCATACCATATCTATAATACTTTTTCCATTTGTGCTTACATAAGTAAATTGACCTTTTGTATAACTTGGAAGTTGTCCATTAAGAAGAAAAATAGGAATTTACTTCCATGACTTTGTTCAACATATGTCCTTCAAATCACAAACATTATCCATGGAATGCCTCTCATATTTAAAAAAGCTGGTCATTAAAATTGCCCAAGACCAAGAAAGGGATATCTCCGGACTCAGTGCTTATTTACCTAATTTATCATATATAATTTCCTTATCCATATTGGGCTTAAAATATACCAAACTCATTATGAAAGAGATTTTAGTATTACCATTTGTGAAACATTTTATAAAAAGCCATTCATTGTTGTATAAGGTGACTTCCTCACGATGATGATCAATCCTCCACTTGCGCGACCAAACCAGCTTGTCTGCTGGTACAGAGACATATCTAAACCAATCTAAGACTGATGGAAGAATGATGGGTCCCTGAATATGTGTTTTGGTACATGCAATAATATCAATTCCTGTGAACTTTCCCTAGGATAAAATGTTGTGAAAGCCATTACAGTTCCATATCACAGTCTCGCTTTAGGTGTTCATTGGTTTAAGTCCAGTTTTTTTCTCGGATAATGTCCCTCCTTTATGGTAGGCTGAGCTGGTTCTTGACCTTAAAAAAGGTTCCAGAGACCCTTGAGGATTAGTTTTCCTTTTTTTAAAAGTGATTTTGTCTGGTTCTGGTCTAAGCTTTGTTCTAGATGTGGTTAAACCTTGTTGACCTAAGGCTTTGGCATTATTTCCTTCATTTTGGAGTGAGGGTATGGATTCAAAATCTCTCTATATCTTGCAGAGCAGCCCTTCTCTCTGGCAGATTTCAAGAATGGTCATAATTGACTTCTTAATATTCTATCTTCTTAAGTTCCAGGCCAAATTTAATTTAGAGTTTTTTAGGTCTTTTGCTTTCCTCAACAACTCCAGCTTCCTTTTCATGGAAATAAATTTTATAAGAAGCGGTTTATTAGCTGATATTCCAGTTCCTATTCTCTTTATGAAGTCAATTTCCAATGGCTGTAAATTTATTTCCAATTTTGTATTTACTTTATGTAAGAAAGCATGCTATAGTTTATCTGGAGATTTGTTTTCTATTTACGGCAATCCAAACATAATCATATTTTTTTTTATGGTGAAAATTACTTTAGAGTGGTATAGAAGAATCTCCACTTATTTTTTCGAAAATCAAATCTAACTTAGCTACTAGTTGTGTATGACCGACTTCCAATAGCTCCACTTTTTTTTTTGTGTCCTCGTGTTGAGATTTGAATGACTCTATGACAATTTTTATTTCTTTTATTTCAAATGCACTTGATCTAACTTTGTTTTGCATTTCCAATTAAATCCTCACCAGGTCGTTCAAGGTTGTTTGATTTCCAGACTTGTTGGGTTTTCAGGATTCATTGTAGGATGACTAAAATCGGTTATTAGGAGTCCTTTTATAATTATTTCTTAATAGTTAACTTTAATGAGGGCCAAAAATGTCGAAAAAATAAGAACTTCGTCACTTACTGGAGTGACATAAACTGTCTAGCAATACAAATATAAATATAAATGAGGCTAAAAATATATATGTTATAATATTAAGGTATATAAACAAACTAGTCATATTGGTTAAATATACCCATAAATATATAAAAAATCAATGGGGGTGTGTATATAGCTTATTATTAAGGTCAGAAATAGGTACATAGATTTAAGATATACACACCTAAACAAATTAAAAAAAAAACTACATACTTATATAAAAGTTTAAAGAAAGAAGATAATTTAATATTTACAGAATCTATGTTAGCGAAAGAAAATGTGGTAAATTCATAGATCCAGCTAGTAAAAAAATAAAATAGTTAAATATTTAAAAATATATCAGTTATGAACAATGTTATTTCATAAAATTGCTCCAGTAGGTTAATTAGATTAGAAATTTTCGAACCAATAAGAACGCATATTTTCTCATATCAAATTTAAAATAACAGACCAAGTCGATGAATTAAAATAAATTTATACAAAATGATGGGGCCAGTGCTGTTTTATCTTATCTACAGTAAATAGTAACAATGAAAACAATAATAATACAAGCCTAGGGAGAAAGGCAACCAGCTGCTTGAAGCCTCTTGGTGGGGGGCTGTACGTCTGAACTTCCTTCCTGATAATGGCCCAGCTCCTCTGAAATAAACTTCAACTTGACGCTTTCTATACCACGATTCTCGCAGTCCGAATTAACTACAAATTTTAAACCCCACTCTTCACTACGATATTAGTTTTGATACCAATTTTCACCAAAATAGAGCAACAACAAGAAATAACTTCAAGATTTTTCATGAAGACGATATTGCAAGGCAGACTCAACCAGACTCCAAAAATATGCAATAACATACAAAATATAAAATGCTTAAAAAGTAGATCTGAAAGGGTATCATGTTTGGCAAATCTACATGTCATATTATATTACACTCTCCCTTCTCCTTTAGTTTCCATCATACCTTCCCAATACAGTTATTTCAGGTTATTATCTGAATGTAAACCTTTTTCATTATTAATTTAGGGGATACTCGCTGTCTGCCTAAAGGCAGACCAGTCCCCATTTCACAAATTATACAAGTTTTCATTTAATTGTGCTACTCATTGCTTAAATTGTATAACTGTAATTTACATGTATTCTGTAGTTCATATTGTATTATTATTTATCATTATAAAATAAACGGAACGAAACTGCAGTTTGGACAAATTTTTGATTTCTTTAAAAATTTATACTGCACATCTTTATTGCGCCTTATTGCCCATTTATATTATTACAGAATTATAATTATTCTTATTGTCAATTTGTTGCTATAATAATGAAGAAATAATTTTGGGAATAAGAAGTGTGGCATCTTCATGGCCCCTTCCTCGTAGTGTGTGTAAAATTAAATATAACACAATCATTAAAAACTTTTCTGTATAATAGAGAGAAAGAAATAATACAACTTAATCTCAAACTTATAATACAGCTGTCTTTAATCTTTAATAAATTCCCAATTTATATTGAACTGACCAATAAATATATTGGCACAATAAATATATACTAAAAAAAAAATGAATATATATATATATATATATATATAAAATATTCCAAATTGCTTTATTTTTTGAATTCATATTAATTTAATTGTCTTCATTTTTTTTTTCATCATACTATTTCAGTTTGGCTGGATGTCCGGACAAAAGAAACTGTCAATCAATTGATTGAACAATCACGGGAGAAGAATGCTGAATGTATCAAACATCTATGTGGGCTTCCAATAAGTACTTATTTTAGTGGCACTAAACTTCGTTGGCTTATTGATAATGTTCCAAAAGTGGCTGATGCTGTTAATAGAAAAAGGTGCCTGTTTGGAACCGTGGATTCTTGGCTTATATGGGTATTAGACATTAAGATTTTTATCTGTAATATGTGACATACGTTTATCGTGTAATATTTATTTATTATGTTTATTTTTGCAGAACTTAACTGGTGGGCCGAATGGTGGATTACATATTACTGATGTCACGAATGCATCAAGAACAATGCTTATGAATATTAAAACACTTCAGTGGGATGATTCTCTTTGCAAGTAATTCCATAAAAAATGTTAAGTTTTTATTTTCTTAGTATAATTAAGAGCAGGCCTTGCCAAGCATTGCCAAAGTTTCAATTGAAACTTTTATTTTTCATTGTATTCATTCCAAAATGTTCAGTAAATTAAAATTTGCAGCATCTATTATTTTTTTTATAATGTGACAATATACACAAATACCAAATTTAATTCACAGAATTGGACTAATTGACTTAAAGTTAGGATAAGCAAATGCAATTTAATTTCATTAATCTGAACTAATTGCTGACAGTGGTATTTGGATTAATGAAAAGTTCAAATTATAGTGGTTGTTAAGGAAAATTAAGAAGAAAAAAAAATAATAAAACCGTTCCCGCTACAACTCCTGTAGAGTTGCTTGGGTTCATTACTTACTTTACAAGAAAGTACTGTTTCTCCTTGAATACATTTTTAGTTAAAAATTGCCACTTTATTGAGACTTCAGATCTCTGGTTCAATTCCAGCTGTGGCAGGTAATTATTTATTCTGTTACGTCAGTTGTGGATCGATCCTGTGGTTTAAAGACAATTTTTTTTACAAAGACAAAATTAAAATAAATAAACCAATAAAACTAATTTTTCTGTTTGCCATCGTGGTTTTTTTCTGAGATTACCGAGCCTTTTTTTTTTTTTTTTCCCTTCCTAAATCTAGGTTTTTTTTTCCCAGGCCAGACAATTATGCTGAGTTAAGTCCCACCGGACACCGGGATTGGAATTTGCATATTTCTATCTCAAACTTTGGTTATCAGGTTGCTGGGCGGCGCACGGTGCTGTGTTTATGCGTTATCTCGCTCGCCCACCCTACCTCCTACTGGGCCGGTTATTATTTATTAATTTTTTTATTTTCATATAGCACTTAAGTTTCAGAGTACTTGGGAATGATCCTGTAAGTTGATATGACTTTTTTATATAGGAAGATGGAGGAAAAAGACAAAGTGTTTTTGATTTATTACACTGCAAGGGTGGTAATGAAAGGAGAGAAGACTATTAAATAAATATTAGGGTGTATAAAAAAAATGACCATTTTATTAAATTCAAGATTTCAAAGGACTGTAAATATTTTAATCTTATATAATACCAATATACGATAACGACCAACCTGGAAAAATGGGAATAGTCAGAGAATTTTCAGAACAGGGAGAAGTCAGGAAAAAATTGTTAAAGTCGGGGATTTTTTTTACTACATAAATATTTTTTTCAATTGGAAATAAATGTACAGTGGATACTATTTATTATAAACTTAAAGTGGTAAACTTTATCGTTATAAATGACCACGGTCACTATATTCATCCACCTTTTATGATCAATAATGGCACTGGTAGTTATATTGAATTCCAACTAGGGAAATGAATAAAATTCAAGCGAAATGGACTTAAAATGGTGCTTTTTAGAAAAGAAAAACATACCAGTACTATTTACTATTTGTAATATATACATCTGGGTCAAGATCTGGCTGGCAAGCATTCATTCGTTCGACCCGTGGTGCTCCTGAAAAGAGCATTTATTAACCAAAAATTGACAGTTGGTGTCATATAGATAACTAGTAATTCTTTTTGAGCATTGTCTAAGGTTGTTTAATCCCATTCGACTTCTTCAAAGAAAGCCTTAGTTTAGTTATTTTTTTCAAAGAAGAAACATGACAGTGTCCTACCAAATTGCCGTAATTTTAAGGCATTACTGGAAAAAAATTTCACAATCACAGAAGCAACTCGTGAAATTATTAAATATTAAGGGGAAGGTGTCCTTGACCAGCGCACTGCCCGAGATTGACTGAAATATTTTAATATTTCAGTCAATCCCCAAAATATTATGATATATTGACTGAAAAATTTAGCAGTGGAGATATGGCGTTGTAAATGAAGAAGGGCTCCAGGCGACCATTGATATTGATGAAGTTCTACAGGAAGCTGTTGAGTCAAATCCAACCAAAAGTACTCGCGAACTTGCCAGGGAGTGTGGTGTGTCGAAAGATACTGTTAGTCGTCATCTGAGGTGATTCTCCATGAGTGAGGTCAAAAAGAACAGTAAACTGGTTCCTCACGAACTTACTCCTCAGGAATCAGTTAAAAAGTTAGAAATTTGTGAAAATTTATTGAAAAACACCTGTCTCATCCACCATATAGTACAGACCTCGCACCATCAGATTACTACTTATTTAGATCCATGGCTCATTTTCTTCAAGGGAAAAAAATTGATAATTTTGCAGAAGTTGGAATTGCAGTCCAAGAGTTTTTTGTCAGCCATCCCAAAAAATGGTATCAGCGTGTGATCAAGCAATTGGCTAGCAGATGGCTAATGACGGTAGATAACAATGGACTATACTTTGAGTATTAATTGTATTTTATATCAAAGGAATGATAATACAAATATTTGGTTGAAAACTGTAATTTTTTTTAGACATGACAGTTAAGTTTAGCTGTTTGAAAATGATAAATCATTGTGTAGTAACTTGCCCTTTTACTTTTAACTAAGGCATAGCTCGCTGTAATGTTATGCATCAACAAAAAGTGGCTTAAAATCATCTGAGTTGGCCAGGCCTGATTTAGAGTCTATTTAATAATATTAATTATTATTTCTGTATGCAATTAAACAGTGTTTCATTCCAAATACATGTTTATTTCTTTAGGTATTAAGGAATTTCTGTAAGATTTTTATTCACACCCATCAACAAATATTTTGCACCACCTAAGTTTTTCAAATCGCAGTAATTTGGAGAACTTATCCTGGCTAAAATAATGTAATTTTATTTTTATTTAACCAAACTTTTTACTATAGAAACTTATAAATATAAATTAAAATTTTCCATGTTTCTTATAAAACAATTCATATATTGCTAGAAATCAGTCAAGGTGAATAAATGAAACATTAATTTCATCATGTTACTATCACAAACTAATAAACTGGTGATGATTTTCTGCATCCAATTGCATGGTGAGACCATATTAAACCACTACTATTTTTTGAGTGGTGGATGTATCCATAGGAATAGTCTTGATCTGTTGGTGTTGACTAAATATTTTTTATCGTTAATGGATCTCATGAAATTCACATGCAATTTAGTCCAGGAGCACTTCCAAAGAACAAATGATAACTATTTAATCTGCAAACTCAGCATTAAATATTTGTTCTGTACAGGTATTCATACTGAGCCACCAAAAATGATCTTGTTTCCTGTAATTAAGTTTTCACTATACCCAAATGAGATTTATACAGATAAGACTTGATTTCTTAATGTCTTTATAATTACCAGCTTATGCCCCCCATAAAAACAAAAATGGATCTCCCTCAAAATTTGAGTCTTTTGGTTTCAAGATACATAAAATCCAAAATTAGATTAAAAATGTGTGTGCAACTTTTTCTCTGAAACAACTGGGCCTATTTATTTTTTTAGATTTGTCACAGATCACACAAGGAAGACCTTCAGTCAGAATCCAACATTATCTTCCTCCTTTTTGCTATTTTACTTACCTATATATGTAATATATAATAAGGGTATAAATATAATATATAAAGGGGCACTAGATTTTTCAAAATATCATTGCTTCATTTTATTTACTTATTCTAAAAAAAAAACACAAATGTTGAAGATTTATTATCTCTTTGTTAATATTTCAATGTTATATTTATAAATGTGTTAATTATATTTCAATTATTCATTCTTATGTTCTGTCCTGTATTTTTAAGCAATTTTTCTCTTATTCATTTATTTTAATTTTTAAAAAAGTGTTATTCCCATTTGTTTCTCTATTAAGATCTATTGTAATAGATATCATACTTGCTGTACGTGAGAATTTATTTGATAAAATGTTATGTTATTTTAATTTTTTTTTATTTCTGTTTGATTTTTAAATTTTCTTTTGTTTTACCTTTTTATTGTATTTTCTTTTTCATCCTTATTTTGTCTTTACTATTTTTTTTTTTTTTTTTTTTTTTGGTTTTCTTCTTTCTTTTCTATGTTTTGTTTTGGTATTGTTGCTATTTTGTTTACATCATAAGTTTCATTCTTTTGTTATAAATCTGAAGATGGCTTAAATTTTGGCTACTGTTATTTAAAAATAACTTTATATTTCATTTAATTTATTTGTATCATAATTCACTTTGACTGTTTCTAAATATTATTGTTGTGCATTATTGTAAGATTTTAATTAGAAAAATGTAGATATGCTATAATTTTAAAATTTTCAGCCAACTTTCTGATAAGCTATTGTATTTTCCTTAACCTGTATTTATTTAAATTATTGCAGGTTTTTTTCCATTCCGATGAGCGTCCTGCCAAAAATTAAAAGTTGCTCTGAAATATACGGGTATCTAACACAATCTGCTTTAACTGGTGTACCTATTTCAGGAGTAAGTTAAAAGTTTTTTTTTTTTAATATTAATATTATTATTAATTAATTATTATGATTATTTCAGTCAATAGTTTTGATAAATTGATATTAAAACTTAGATCAATTTAAATATATTCAAAAACTGTTCATTTTGTTGATCTTTATGGAATTTTTAATTATATGTGAAATTACTATAATTTATAGAGCAATTTCTGTTTATTTGCGGTCTGTAATAGCTATAAGTTTAACATGCGGTTTCAACCCAAGAGTCATACATTAATGCACCATGGAAAAGAATATTAATATTTAAAAAGTGAGGACAAAGAACTTAACTCATCACTGAGCTCATCCATGGCATCGGATCCATCTCTAAACTAGGTGAAATGGTGCCATAGATTAGTGCAGTGCTGAGTTTAGGAACTTGGCGGTGATATATATAATGGAAGAAAATAAAATTTTAAAAAGGTTAAATCTATACTGCCATTAAACCTATTTGTTGACTGACAGACTCTATTTTGCGATGGGAAATGTAATTACATAGTTTTAAGTGGCTAATTTAATCGAGTAAATTAAAATTTTTATTTTAACTCGGCCTATTATAAATTATGTACATAGTTTTAACTTGCTAATTTGATTGAATAAATTAAAAAAATTATTTTAACTCAGACTTTTATAAAATATGTAGTTCCACTTAAGAGATTAATTCACTTACAGGATAGATAATTTTTTTAACTTAGCTAAAAGAGATATTGTTATTGAGTGAGCTAATAAGACCGAACGTGATTGGACAAAATGTAAGTTAGTTTCCAAGTCTCAAAAACTTACATTAATTTGAACAACACTGCTTATCTTTTTTTTTCTTTTTTTTTAAGCTTTAGCTTTGTTTATTTAACGTGTTTCAATTTGAAAAATTTATCAGCAAATTAGTAACTGTAAAATAAATTCTTTAGTGCCTAGGTGATCAACAATCTGCGCTAGTTGGACAAATGTGCTTTAAACAAGGTCAGGCAAAGAACACGTATGGAACTGGCTGTTTCTTGCTCTATAATACTGGAAAGTCCGTAAGTGTTTTTACCGATTTTACCATAAAATTAACTACTAATTGAATTGAATATGAAGTAAAATCTGTTTATTTCTGTAGCTAGTGTTTTCACAACATGGGCTTCTGACTACTGTTGGCTATAAGATGGGTAATAATGCACCAACAATCTATGCCCTTGAAGGGTCCATAGCAGTGGCTGGTGCTGCAGTGCGCTGGTTGAGAGACAATCTCAATATTCTGAAAAATGTAGCAGATTCTCGAAGATTAGCACAACGAGCACCTCCGATTGGTGAAGTCATTTTTGTTCCTGCATTTTCTGGCCTCTATGCTCCATATTGGAGGAAAGATGCTCGCAGGTAAATTAAAACTAAGTTATTTTATATCTATGTAACATTATGGGAAGCCCATATGTGACAGTGTACTGTCATAGGCAATTTATAAGGGAATATTTCTCCTGGATGGTGATCAGGATTGTGCATAGTTTTCTATAATATTTATGATACCTCAATTATAATTACTAAGTCTTGAGTAGAACCTATATTCTCTTGTAATTACAATTTTTTTTTACTGGATTGATATTCTTTAAAAACAATTTCTTTTCACAAATCAAGGCATTCTAAGTAATATATTTAGATCTTATTTTGCATGAAAATGCACAGTATCACTTAGTTTGCAATAATTAAAGATTATATTTGTAAGTTAGTTTGAAAATGTAAATAATGATATAAAATTACTAAGGAAAGTTTCATGAAGTGATAATTGGCTTCACAGAACACTCTAAATATTTCCAATTTTCTAGAAACTTGTGATGTTTTGAAGTGTGTTTTTCATCTGATCCCTATTCAGAACAATGAAACCTACAAATATATGCTTTAGAAGAAATACAATAAAGCATCAGTTAATATCTATTGACAGAACTAAAGAAAACAATTGTCGCTACAAAAAAGCATCAAGAAAAATGAAGAACATGAGGAAATAGGAAGAAGGGAGAGCAATAATGAGTACCATAAACTTTACGAGGATTATTAAAACAATGAATCTAAAACTGTTAGAACTCATTTGGATTCATAGATTTCAAGGGCCAGATTAAAATATGAAGCTGAACGTTGTGCCAACCTTGTAGAAGAATGGTGCGAGAAAAAGAAGTTAAGGATGGCGGGTTCCAAGACTCAGGCCATCCTCTTGAGAGGTTCGACCGATAGGGCACACCCCATAACCTTGGTGATACAAGGCTCCAGAATATGTCCAAGTGAGGTAGTCACCTATCTTGGAATTAGGATTGGGAAAAAATTCAACGTGACGCCTCACTTGGATTACTTAAGGAATAGGATAACCTTAGCCCTTAATGGTCTCAGTCGCATATGGGGGGCCTTTTGGGGCCTTAGATATCCAGCAACTATGTCCATTTATAAAGGAGTAGTTGTTGGTATCCTGAGATACGCGTCCCCCGCATGGAACCGGAATCTCTCGTACCGTCAGAAGCGCAAGTTGGCAACAATCCAGCGGATGGCCCTGCTTAGAGTAACCAGGTCATACAGAACTGTGTCCCATGAGGCAGTGCAGGTCTTAGGAGGAGGTATTCCTCTCGACCTCCTTCTGCGGGAAGACCTTTATCGGTACAACATTAAGAGGGATGACTTGGCGGATTTACCAGCAAACATTTGGGAGAGGATTTGTGATGACCCCAGAAGATGGAAGATGATCCTCCGGGAGGATACATTGGAACAATGGAATCGGCGATGGGTGACAACCCCAAACGGGTCCACACTAAGAAAATTCTTTCCCACCATTAAATCGCGCTTAGAAAAGAAATGGGTCCTCCCGGACTACTGGGTCTCACAGATCCTCACGGGGCATGGGGGTTTCAGAGCAAAACTTTTTAAACACGGTAAAAATATCGACCCCTTATGCCCCACTTGTGGAGTACCTGAAACCGCTGAGCACATCCTTGTAGCCTGCACCAGCTATGAGGCACTGAGGGCCAAATTAATGAGGGATACAGGGCTTTTCGTTCTTACAGAAGGACAATTACCCCAACTAATGTCTGAACAAAACTACCCGCACTTTAAAAGTTTCGTATGCGGCTGGAAAAAAACTGTGGGCCCAACCCACTTCTCCCTGGGAAGGCGTGAAGAAGCAGTACCTGGAAGGCCGCTAATTAGGACAGGAGAAGAAGATGGAGAACAATAACTAAGTGACAAAATTATCAAGCAGGCTGTGTGCTCAGCAATTTAAAAATGTAAATAGATAAACATGCAACAGTGATTTGTTATACAATGTGTATCAAGTCACTGCTGCAAACTCCCGTATTGTCTTAAAGGCAGGGTAGGGAGGAAAATAAAATAAAATAAAATAAATAAAATTTGGATTCATAGAGAATGAGAAAACCCAAGTTCTGTGAAGATAGAATAACCATTTCAGCCCCCTAGCTTAACGAAAATGAGGCACAGAAAGCTTAACAAAAAGAAGTTTAGCTCCCAGATGAAGAGGAAATGCATGAAGACCTTAAGAAGTTAAAAAAAAAAAAGAAAAAGCAGCAGGCCCAAACTTTTCAAGAAAGGGGAGATCAGTTCTTCAAAGCATAACAGAATCTTGTGATCTGGTGTAATGAAATTCTTTCAACAGCTTGGAATAATATAGTTGTGGATACTTAGAATTCAATGTGAGCCTCTGTATCAAGCAATGAAAGACCTCAATTTACCTATCAAGCTCATCAGCTGATAAAACTTACTAAGGATTTACTTCTAATAAGATTGCATTACCTGTCTGCTCTTCAATATTGATTTGGTAAAAGCTATCAGACAATTGATTTTCCAGACTAGAGAAATAATCTTTGATGGTTGTATGGTGCAAATTCTGGGATATGTTGAATAATTGTAAAATCAAATATATGATTGGTGGTCAAACTTGAGGTATTAACGAAGATTTTGTATAGGTTTGTCTTTGAATGAGTTTATCAGTTTCCATACCTGGGCTCACAGGTTAATGACATTTTGGTTGAGATAAGGGAGCAAATACTCCCTGGATAAACTCTTGTCAGCATCTCAGCACCCGGTTCCATTTCTGTCTTCCCATGATCTTAACCAGATTTCCTACAACTTCCTGGTCCCATTTTTTTCTCCTCAAACCATATCCTTCCGAAACCTCAACCCCCTCACCTATGAAGCCCTATCGCAGGATCTCGACTTTCACTTAGTCATCTTTATCACTTAGTTTGAATTTCTTTCACAGGCATCAGTAATCAAAACCCTACAAAATAAAAAAAGTAGCAAACAAATCGGTTCAATAGCTCCTGAGAAAATATTGTTTTGTTGGTAATTTAATTACCTTTCAAAAGTTTTATTATAAATTTTACTGTATAATATATACTTAGAGAGTTAGGCCCCATAACATTTTTCTTTTCTTTATAACTTTTTTTTCTGAATTTTTTCGGGAATTTAGTCCTTATACAAAAATTGAAAGGACAATTATTAGAGCATTATAGGAAAGTTTTATCAAAATTGTTCGAGCCGTTTTCGTGCTACAGTCTGTAGAAAAACATGTTTTTAATTTATTGCGCATGGAGCACCGAATTTCTGTCACAGGCATCAGTAATCAAAACCCTACAAAATAAAAAAAGTAGCAACAAAATCGGTTCAGTAGTTCCCGAGAAAATCTTGGCATAGACAGACAGACAGAAAAATTGCTAAATATGTGTTTTTCGGACTCAAGGGGCTCTGAAACATATAGATCTGTCAAAAACCACATATCGGAAATTCGACCCGATTGCAATACTTCCTTAGCTAGTATAGGTAGAAAATTAAAAAAATATATAAAATTAACTTATTAACATTTATTTTATGTATATAACATTTAAATAGAATATAAGATCATGGACATGATGGATAAAGAACATACCTTGGGTTCAGAATAAATCTCCTACTGATAGCTTCCAAATGGTCAGAATTCGGAACGACTTCACTGAGTTAGCTACAGAGGATTAATTAATGCACCGACCAAGCCACAAGTCAAATGGTAAAGGTGGGACTTGCCCCTACCTATTTAATTGGTGACCAGCCAGGCGGGAAGGCACATATCCCGGCCGTACCAATGATCCAGCTCTTAACGGGAAGGTATGTATTCCGTCCGCAGTCAAAGGGTTAACTCACAGTGGATTGTGCTGGCTTTATTTCAAAACCCTCTACCCTCTTTCATAAATAATTGGCTGTTATTAATAAAGTATAGGATAAATAGCCAAACTTACTATTACCCAAAAAATAAATTTAGAATATCTCTTCCACAATAACCATTTGAGAAAGATTTAAAATATATTATTTAATACTCTTCACCTAGTTTTAACTTATTGGCTCAAATTTATTTTTATTATATTTTAGTGTAATATGTGGCTTAACGGAGGAAACATCTAAGGAACACCTGATTAGGGCAGTGCTGGAAGCAGTTTGTTACCAGACTAGGGATATTCTTGAAGCAATGAACCAGGACTGTGGAATCCCATTAACCAAGCTTCTTGTTGACGGAGGCATGACAGCTAATGATTTCGTTATGCAGCAGCAGGCAGATCTCTGTGGAATTCCAGTCAGTACGTAATAGTACTATTTTTACTTTCATTTACCTATATATTCTTTAGTAAAAAATCATCAGTAGTACAAAAAATATTAATAAGAAAATTTTTGTGATTATTATGAGTCTACTTATGATCTTTGTCTCTCACTTCGGAGAGAAACTCATTACTGGGTCCTCAAACAGTCTCTGCCAGTTTAATCAGTGAAGTGCAGCTGCCCTGCAATTCCTAACTCGAAGGAAGCTTTGTGCTGCCTCTTAGTCTGTTTCCATACAGGTCCTCATCAAGAAGTATTTATCTGTCTCATCCTCGCCCAATATCAGGCCTATTGAGAAAGAACTACATTTATCTGTTTGTTCGCCTTCCCAATGTTGATCCATTTTTCACAGGGTAGTAGATTTATCTAAGCAGTTTTTGTCTCAAATGTTAGGAGTAACTTAACTTTTCATTAGACCTCGAGGAGGCCCATGATTCTGACACATAGGTATACACTGGACAAGACCACTTCACATTGATAACTTTGTCATATATTCTTGTATTTACAGCTCTTAATATTGAGTTATTTCCAAGATACTATCCAATTCCTTTTCTTGGCCGAAAATGTCATTGGTTCACAGTAACCATACAGTTCTTTCAAAGTTTATATTTAACCATTTTTTATATTACTAGTTACAATTTGAAATAATTAACTATTTCAAATAAACAAAATGAAAAGTAGTACCTTAGAGGAAATTATTTTAAAAAATCAGCATTTAAGCCTTGTCAGGCTATTTCAAGAAAATACTTTCCTGATTTTAAACACCCCTTAATTTAACATCGATGTAATGAATTTAATCTAAATTGTTTGTGACGTTTTTGATAAAATTGATTATGTAAAGCGCCATGGGTTGTAGCAATTGATTTGTTGTAACATGCCAGGTATACACCTTCCCAGCTATCTTAAATTCATAATTATAGTTATCTACAATTTTTAAGCATGGCTGTGACGCACACAGACCATAGAATACTTGGCTATTTGAACTCTGTTGAAAAGCAAGATTTGAAATTCTTCTCAATCGCTATACTTGTTCTTACTATATATTTAGTTAATAGTTTAGTGAAAGAAAAAGTCTGATTAGTTTTTTTTTTCTGTTTGCTTTAAAGCCCTTAATGGTTTTAGTTGTTTTCAAATTCTTATTTATTACTCTTATTTTTTTCTTACACTTTCTTGTTGGTTGTGGATGGATGATAATTCAATATTAAGATTAAATTAAGCAAAAGCCAAAAAAGAACAAGTGTTACAGGTTTATTTGACGTATTAAACTTCCATAAAATTTTCTATTAATATTTCAGATATAATATAATTTAGTGGTGGTAATAATATTGTATTTTGATAAATAGTTGAAAGGAAAAACAAAAAGAAAACATTTATACTATTGCTATACTGTGGCAAGATTTGTTTTATTATGAATTAGTCTAAAATTGAAACAATGCTGATAATTGTGTTATTCAATAATTCAATGAAATAATTGTTTACAGTTAGGCCATCAATGACAGAGACGACTGCACTTGGAGCAGCAATGGCTGCTGGCTCCGCTGAAGGTATAAATGTTTGGAATATGTCAGAGGTACAATCAGTACCCTGTGACACCTTCTTGCCTTCAATACCCGAAGATGGTAAGTTTGTTTTCGGTATAAATGTCATATTTCACTCCTATTCTCTATTATTAATTATTATATGAATGGTGGGATAGTTCAGTGGGTATAACACTTGCTTATTATTCTTGGGCTTGCCAGTGCAGCGGGGCTGTATCAGAAAATTATTTTCTATTCTTTAGTATGTGAAAATATAAAACAAAGTAGACCTTCCTGAGGGAGATCCAGTCTTGTGAATGGGTTCAGGAGAAAAAAGGCTACTGAGTAGGATCCTCCTATTGTAAATGGCCACATCCCCTCTCTGCATTAACATTTATTGACTATTAAATTAATATTAATCTTGTAATATGACCAAAATTTTAAATAATTATTGTTCGTTAGTTCTTTTCTGCTATCAATTCTACTTAAACTGCTTGCTGTGATTGTAACTGGTGAAATCTTTTTACCTTAAGAATGCTGATCTCACTTATAGAATGTACTGTAAAGATAGAATTTTGTGGTTACAGCTCACCACACCACAATCACACTGTTACTCATTACTTCCAATCTTTTTTGATTGAAAACAATAACAAAATTTAGCCATCATGGTTGTAACAAAATATTATTTTAAGAATTGAAACTGTATTATTACAAATAAAATTCAAACTGAGTTTTTCTTGATCCACATATTTTCCTGATCCTTGGAAAATATCTATTGTCAAAATGATCCACAAACCCAAAAAGCCACCAGAATATCCATCCTCTTACCCTCCCATCTCTCTGTTACCCATCATGGAAAAAATCCTGGAAAAACTAATCTTAAAACGCCTGCACCCAATCCTATATTCTAATCACATAATCCTAGATCACCAATTTGGATTCCGCTCCTCCCATTCCACTATACAGCAATGCCATTGTGTGGTAGACGTAGTATCCTCTGCATTGGAGCGCGGTATGTACTGTACGGGAGTCTTTCTCGACGTTGAACAGGCGTTTCATAGAGTTTGGCACCCGGGACTGCTGTACAAACTCCGAAAATTCCTACCATCTACATACTTCCTCATTATCCGTTCCTACCTTACTGATAGATACTTTAAAGTAAATCACAACAATGTCTATACATCCCGCTTTTCCCAGTCTGCAGGTGTTCCTCAAGGTAGTATCCTAGGTCCTATCCTTTACACAGTTTATACAGCTGACATCCCAACACTGTCATCACCACATATGCTGATGACGCATGTATCCTATCAGTTAATAACGACCCATCTATTGCATCCCAAACCCTTCAATCCCACATCACAAACCTTGAAGAATGGTGTCAGAACTGGAAAATTAAAATAAATTCCAATAAATCCCATCAAATTACCTTCACCCTTCGTCGTAAACCAATGACTTCCTGTCCTTCAGTATCCTTTAAGAATACCTCACTTATTCCTGTTGAACAAATCCGTTACCTAGGTGAACAAATCCGTTACCTAGGACTCCATCTGGACAAACATCTAACTTGGAATCCTCATACCAGACTGAAACGACAAGAAACAGCTCGACGTTTCCGACTACTTCAACACTTACTAGACAAACGCTCTAACCTTCCAATCAATTATAAAAGACTCATTTACATGACTATAATAAGGCCTATTTGGACTTACGGAGTTGAGCTATGGGGCTCCACTAAACCTTCAAATTCCTCTCGCATCCAATCCTTACAATCCAAAATCCTTCGTAAAATCCTCAATGCTCCTTACTTTGTTACGAATAAAATTATCCATAATGACCTTAATGTTCCTTATGTATCAGATTTGGCCCAATCCAGATATCTGTCCTTCCATAATAAACTTCATAACCATTCCAACCCTCTTGTCTCTAACCTTGCTTCCTATTCGATTCCTGATAACCCTCCGAGGTGTCTGAAAAGAAGATGGCCACGTGATCTTCTAATATAGACATATTATTAGAGTGCTACCAATGGGTAGTTTCTCAACATGTGTTCCATGTCATTATATCCATGTGCGAATTTACCAGATGTATTTTTTGTATACAGTTGTAAATATCATATAAATAAATAAATAAAGAGTTTTTTTATTTAATACTTTTTTTATTTATTATTTAATAATAAATACTTGAGAGTTCGGCTCTAGCCGGTGACAACGATACATCGGCTCCACGGCGGTTTCCCTTTTAATAGGGTTTTATTCACCCAATCGAGCCAAAAATTTACATGTGACCGAGGACGTACGCTGGAGACCTGCTGCTTGAATTTCGAAAAAATCAAGCAAAGAACTTCGCCAGGACTAGGAGGTAAAAAAACTCAACGTGCCTGTGGGACCGGGGTCCTTATCACTGTGCAGAACAGGACTTGTCGGCCCCCTCCACCTCACAGCGGCCGCCTCCATCCAGCAAGGTCAGTGGCGTCTTATCAATACCAACAGCTGTCACCGAAAGAGCCCAACCTATTTTGTTAACCTTATCCATTGTTTCATTGATTTTCTATATTCTCTCTCTGCTCTCTTATTCAAGGAAAAAAATTATATATATATACATATCAGCTTTATCAATCGATTTATTTATTAAATTTTATTTATTATTTATTCAGTGGACGTGGGTATGTGTTTTTAATTTTATTTAATTTTTTTAACAGTATATTTTAAATTGTTTTTATTCATTAACTCATTTATTAATTTATTATTATTTAAATAAGATTTTATTGATTGTATATTTTAACTTGTTCTCAATTGTTAACGTATTTATTAATCTTTTATTTTTTATTCAGATTATATTAACTGAATATTTTAATTTGTTTTTAAAAAAATTGATTTTATAGATTTTAACTTTTTACCATTACTTATTTGATATATTTTAACTTAATTTTAAGCAATTGATTTGTATATTTTAACTTCATTTTATATTTTAGCTTAGTTTTAAGATTAAATTTAACTTTTTATAGTATAACTTGGTTTCTATTGATTTTAAATTTTAAATTTTAGATTATTTTACCATTATTTATTTGATATATTTTAACTTGATTTTGTGCAATAGATTCTATAGATTTTAACCTATTAATTAACCTTTTTTTTTATTATAACTTGGATTCTCTTGATTTTATATTTTAAGTTATTTTTAAGCAATTGATTTTATAGATCTCAATTGTTTTTTAGCTTTATACATTTTACATTTTAACTTTTTTTAAACATATTTATCTGATACTTAAGTTGGCATATATGCATGTCTCTCTCGTTTAGTTTTTATTTATTTATTTTTATTTATATATTAATTCTCCTTAAAATAATTTATTGTAATCATGCGTGTGGTATACATGGCCTCGAATAAATAGATTGTATTTTAAATGGACCTAAAAATAATGAAAAAAATCGAAATTGGCCAGAAAGTATGGGTTCCGAGAACAGAAGGACCTGCTCAGGAGGCTGTTGTTGCCTCTGTGATGTCTGTGGATGCCGCGGAAGGCGGCCAAAAGAAAATTGTAAAAGTCGAATGGCCAGACACAGAAGGTGTACTATTGGGAAAGACAGTTTCGATAGATGATGTCTTCCCAGCATTGCCAAATGTTCCACAGAATGTCGCAGGGGCGAGCAGAGAGCAGGAGGAAGAAGTTATACGCCCTAATAATAAAGTTTGTCCCATATGTGGGCTTTCTTTTAAGGGTGAAAGAGGTCTTGGAACCCATATTGCAAAAAAGCACCCCAGGGAGGCTAACACCAATACACTGAGGGGCATAGTGAAAAATGTTATAGGTCCAAAAAATGGAGAGGGTGAGGTATCAAAAATAAAAGAGGACATTATTGGATGGTCTACCGTGTTCAAGAATCTCTTAAAAGAAAACACAATGAATATTGCGGATTTTGATGAGGCCGTAGGCCAGTTCCTAAATTTTCTCAAGAATATCAATGCGGAACTGCCAGGTCCCCAGCACCCAGCCGTTAAATTTTACAAGATGAGAAAAAAAAATAAAACTAAAGTGGCTGATAAGGGTGCTGGACAAGTCTCAAATCCGCAAAGAGCGAACAAGGTAGACAGGAGTCGTCGGCAGGAGCAGTATCAATACGAAGTCGCACAGTATAATTATTACAATAAAAGAAAAAAAGTTGTGCAAACTGTTATGAATGCCGATGCTCCTAAGAGGTGTCCTATAAAGATGGCCGATATCGAAAAATATTATAAAGACCTCTTTGAGAGCGAAAATCTCTGCAGGCGTGCGGATTACGAGCAGTGTGCCCCGATGCCAAATTTAGTGTCCATTGATGTAGAAACCGTCAAGAAAGCCATTAAATCAACATCAATGGACACATCGCCGGGGCCTGATGGAGTTCTGATCCGCACGATTAAATATTTCGATGTTGCAAATATTATTAGAACAATTGCGGAGATAATGTTGAAGGTGGCCTATGTCCCAGAACCACTTCGACAAGGGCGCACAATACTAATATATAAGGGGAAAGGTGATGTAAACAAAATCCCTTCCTGGAGACCCATCACCATTTATTCTATTGTGCGCCGAATCATAGAGAAGGTTCTGGACCACGAATTAAGAAAACAGGTCACCTTCCACAGGAATCAGAGAGGCTTTATAAAAGGCCTCCCGGGAACGCACGTCAACGCAAGGATTATCGACGCTGTATTGAAGGATGCAAAGATTATGAAAAAAGATTGTGCGGTGGTATTCCTTGACGTTGTCGGTGCTTTTGACAATGTTGGCCACAATCATATCGTGAGCTCCTTGGAAGCAAGAGGTGTGTCGCCGGATCTTCAACACGTTATATCGGCTCTCCTCTGCACGAACACAATCAAAATTAGTAACGGTGTTCACGCAACTAGCCAAATCAAAGTGCTGAGCGGGGTACCCCAAGGCGGCCCCTTGTCGTCGTCGCTCTTCAACCTGGCCATTGACCATCTCTATCGCGACCTGTGCGATGAAGAATTTTCCAAAAAATTTGGATACAAGTTAAAAAGTGACCAAGGTTGTGTGGTCCTCACAGGTTTCGCGGATGACCAGGCCGTGTCAGCGCGTGACAAGGGGGCTGCAGAAAGAGTGATCGGCAGCGTTCAGAGGACATTTGAGGGAATTGGTTTGGCTATTAATCCTCAAAAAAGCGTGGGCATCGTTCTAAATAAAGGAGAGCTGGAAACCGCGATGCTCTCCCTTGAGAACGGAGAGTACATCCAAACAATGCAGAATGGAGATACAATCAAGTATTTAGGATGTACATTCTCGGGAGAGCTACAGTTCAACGAAGATTCGGTGACCAAATTGAACGAAAACCTGAATAAACTGGTAACCTCTCCCTTGCTGAAGCCGGAGCAGAAGCTAAACATTGTCAACCAATATCTGTTCCCGGGTCTTACTTACCCTCTCCAAACTGCGTCCCTCACAAAGCTGCGTCCTGCCGTACTTGACGGCATCGACACCATGATTCGCAGGAGTGTGAAGGCTATTGTTGGACTCCCTGCGAACACCTCCACGGCGATGTTGTACTCTCCCAGGAGGTATCGAGGATTGGGATTAATCCGCTGCCAATGGGAGGCTCCTCTACAACATTGGTCCATTGCTCAGCGACTGTCCAATGTGCCCGATGCCCTTTTTCAGTCGATCTTTGATTATTCGGCTGAGGTTGATGAATGTGCCGAGAGATTGGGGGTTGATCGGGGTATTCGGAATATGAGAGCTCTACGGCAGTCGCTTCGAGAAAATTCGTTTGAGGAATGGACCAATTGCAGGTGGCAGGGCATTGGAGTTCGCCATTTTAAAGAGACCCCGAAAGCCAATAAATACATGTATGATAAGCAAGTACTTTCTGGGTCTGAATGGTCAAATGCCCTGAAACTAAATATTAATTATGCTCCCCTGCGTGGAGTCCCAGGTGTCAGCGGACAGGTAAGAGAAGTTGGGTCCCTCTGTCGCAAATGCGACAGAGAGCCAGAAACACCAGCACATGTGCTTGGAAAATGCCCCAACAACTCCCTCCTTATAACACGCCGTCACCACAGAGTCAAGCATGAACTGATGAGGCTCCTTGAAGAGAGAGAATACGCCTGTTTCGAGGAAGTATATTGTATAGATACGGATGGATCCACCCGATATGCCGACATTGTAGCATTCTCTAAGACGGGAAAGTCGGCGATGATTTTGGATCCGACCGTGAGATATGAGACCAACGACCTCGATCAGGCAGAAAAAGTGGAAAGGGAGAAAAAACAGATATATGAGAAATGCATCCCTTTCCTTAGTGAAAAGTTCCGCGAGAGTTTCGGGCCGAGAGAATTCCACGTGAGAGGCCTTTGGTTCGGAGCTCGCGGAACGATACCAGACTCAACAAGGAGCTTCATGGAGGGCCTTGGTGTCGACATAAAGGACGTGGCAAGGTTGGCAGAGAGTATAATCCTCGACTCCCTGGGAATCATCCACCACCATGTGCATGGGAGCGGATAGGGGGAGAGTTTGCTCGCGAGGGGGAGGCATGCGTGTGTTACAGCATTTTTTATATTATTATTTATTGAACACGTCCACTGTACTTTATGAATTTTTTATGTATTAGGTTAGAAAGAGAGAGGAGAGAATGTGAGTGGGAACATGTATAGGGGGAGAGAAGGAAGAGAAAGGGTACAGAATGATAATAAATGAATGAAAGAAATAGTAAAAATTATAAAAAAAAAAAAAAAAAAAAAAAGGAAAAAAAAAATAATATATATATATATATACGTATAAAATATTGTATACTATGCTCATACATATTGTTAATCCTATAATTGTATAATAATTTTAAATAATGTCTGTAGTGATTAATAGGTATGCTGTGTTGTTAGCAACCCAATGTAATTGGGCAGCACCATTTTATTTTATTTTATGATAATAAAGTGATTCTCTCTCTCTCTCTCCATCCTGCTAATTTAATTTTAAATTTGATTATTAGATTTCCTAAATGATTAAAATTTGAATAGAATATATGTGTGTGTTATCAAACTTTAAGATAGAAATGTGACCAAAAAAAAAATCAGGGATTTTTTTCAGAACTAATTCATTTCATTTAATACAAATCACATTATCTTCTAGACATTAATTTTTTTTATGAATCTCAGTATATTTTAACTTGGTTGAAATTTTAATTTTATTTTAGGTATAATTTAATAAGCGAGTACTTCGCTTAGAAATTAATTTAGTTAGTTTTCATAAGTTTAGAACATTATTTTTATTTTCAATAATTCACATAAATATCTTGATTTATCATACATCTAGACCAAAAGATTTTTAATTTAACATTTGAATTAATTTTGCTTTGGTTAAGATGTGAGGATATGCCAAATACATCAAAAAATATTATGCTAAATTGAGGCAAGAGATGATCTTGGGTGACGATCATAAAAAAAAAACTTGAAATAGTGAACAAATATTTTAATTATACTGCTTACTGTAACCGTATCTGTTGAAATTTTGTTACCATAAGAATGTCAATGTTCACTTATGAAGTGAACTATAAAGATAGAATTTTGGCTTATATGACCGTCATCTGGACCATCTCCTTCCTCAATATTATACTATGGTCAACCATTGAGTAATCAATTATTATGGTAAATGTTAAATGAACTCTTTTTGGTAAAATTAACAATTTGTTGCCAAAACAAAAATTTTTTTTGTTCCAGAAAGAGACTACAAATATTCAAGATGGAAAATGGCTATAGAACGAAGTCTAGGATGGGATGTAGATCCAGCAACAATTAGTCATCGTAAATATTCTAGTAAGTTTAATAAAAAATTGTAGAGTTTGAGCTCATTAGGACTAAGCATAACAAAAATTTCCTCAATTCACTATAACAATTCATCTCCAATGAGAAAGGAAAAAGTATTTCTTTATGGCATACCATACTTAGCATAATTCTGTCGTTCTCAAGTTAGGAGTAGAAAGAGCTAATGCTATGTACTGATTTAAATATTAGTTTGTTGATAGTCATTATGGATTGATTTGATAAAACCAATCAGAGGAGGGTATCTCTCTCCTGTATTATTTAATATTGCATTGGAGCAAGCGTCTAGAGCAATAAAGACAAACCCAGGAGGCACAATCTATAATAGACTTACCCAACACTTAGCGTACGCTGATGATGAGGTAAAAAGGTTCCTGACACAGGAATGTAAGATCATCCAGATCTGGGAAAGGAAGGCCCTTCAGCAAATCTTTGGGCCGATAGGTATAAGTGGCTAATGGAAAATAAGAAATAATATAGAACTCCAAAAACTATATAAAGAACCAGACATAGTCACTTACATTGAATAAAATACAAGATGGCTTGGGCACATAGAAAGTATGGATGAAGATAGATAACCAAAAAGACATATATGACAAACCAGGAGGCAAAAGAAGAGGAAGGTCCAGAGTTAGGTGGATTGATGATGTGGAGGACTATTTGCAGAAGATGGGAAATAGACAATGGAGAAGCTGGGCTGCTGAAAGGGAGGATTGTTTTGTGGAGGCCAAGGCCCTACAAGGGCTGTAAAGCCACAGAAGTAACAATCTATAAATGCCGAACCACAATTATTTCTGGTTGATATTTAAGTTATCATCCTCTAATCAATTATATCAGGTGTTAGCCCTTCAGTCTTAAGTTTGTTGAATTTAAAAGTAGTGCCTATTCTATTGATATGGGTTGTTGAAATCAAGAACCTGATAGCACTGTATATGGTTTGTCTTAAACTTCATATAAATATTTTTTTTCAATTCTCGGGTACTGTCCACCTAGATTTTTTTCCATCAAGTCAACGTGCTATTATAAACATATACCAGATGAAAATTGAGGATGTTGTTCTCAGAATCCATCAAAGCCTGAGTGGCTCAGGGTTGATTGAACTTGGCCCGAGAGGTGTACTTCATCACGATACGTCTGCCTACACTTCACTAGCTTTATGTGAGTTGGACTCAGATCGTCGTTATGGAACACCCTCCTCATTCACCCAATTCAGCATCTTGTTTGCTACAGAGAACTTCTATGGGATCTTCCAACAACAGAAATGCTGATGGCACAAATGTATTGTCTCAGGAGTAATAGTTTTAAAAGGGATAAATTTATTGCATTAGGCAGATCTAAAATATATTTTAGTTTTTTCATTACTTAATGCAGGGAAACTTTATTTTTTTTACTTTATTTATATTTTACAGACACATAGTGCCAAGTGAATTAATTCAAAATCTGTGTAACCTGAGCTTAGCCTTGGGTTGCTTTCTCTATAATGCTGTTTAAGTTTACTAAAGAGATAACGAATGGCCACATTACATAATATTCATAGCCCTCAGAGTCTGATGTAGTGTAAAGATGCGGTCCATTGTGGACCAGTTGCAGTGGAAGCCACACAGATGTTCCTCAACCACCGATTCCTGACTATAAAAGCTTCTGGTTCAGCAAACAGGTTATCAGCTTGTACACTGTTCACATTAGAGCTATGCATCTATAGACTGAACAGTCTATTTTGTACCTCTTTTTCTATGCACCAATCAATCTTCAAGGTCAGAAATTATAATTTACAGTGTCACAATTTAAGTATTTGGATATCAACTATTTGACAAGATTAGACAATAATATGACAGCTGAAATAAAATCAGAAACAACGTTTCTAGCTCTCTCACCGAGTTATACTTATAATTTACAAGACAATAATACATACTTTAGTTATACATGGCTGTTGTTGTGTTACTTAAGTAATTAGTAAAATGCCTAGGGTAGAAAAGGGATCCCCAAAAAAGAATTAAATTCCAGAGGAAGTCCCCTTTCTACATAAGTTTAAGCCCATAGATCATAAGCCCTATGAATTTTTTAGGAAATATTTTATATTATATTAAAAATAGAGTAAGGATTTATACTTGTTATTACCTTTATATCAGTTGCATGACAACCTGTTATTTAATTAAGAGTACCAACTTAAGAGAGGCTGGATGTGCCCTATGAGGGTCTCTGGATTCCAGGGTTGATCCACAACTGATTTAATTGAATAAATATTTACCTGACATAGCTAGACTAGAACCTAGGACTTGAGCATTATTACCCACTGAGCTACCCCGCTCCGTTTGTCAGCATGGCTGTCCATTCTCCAGAATAAAACTAATTGTAAGTGTAAGTCAATAACTTAAATTTTTGTTTCAGAACTTGCCATTCAAGAAACCATTACTCGCAGCTTACCAGGAGTATTTTATTTATTTACAACGGGCGTAGTTTTACTTGTTGCTAAGTTAAGAATGCAGCAATAATTGTGATTTTTATGTTGAATACTTAATGTCTCAAGCAACAATGTATGAATTGTTCAATACTATTGTTGTTAAGTTATTAATAAACAGATACTCATTTCTTCATTATGCTTTTGTATATTTTTTTAAATTTAATTTTAATTGAGCTGAATTAAATATTTCATTAAGAACAAAAAAATGAGTATCTGATCATGGTGGTGTTTATATTATTAATGAAAATATTTGCAACTATTATTAGTTGATCGTGTTTTTTTTATTGTATTTTCAGCTTTAGTTGAAATGCTTAATATATTTGGAGTAGATAAGCGCACATAATTTATAAATTACTTTAAAAACAAAGTAATATGAGCAAAAAAAATCGTTAATACATTTTGATGTTAAAATTGTTATGATAACAATTTAACATAAAAATGTATTTTAATTATTTATTAGATAAGTACTGAGTACTTATCTAATAAATAATTAAAATGTAAGTTTCAGAACTTGTTTGATATCTTGTTCCCATAAAGTTAATATTTTGCTGAAATAGGCGTTTGACTTTAGCTGAAAAATTGTGGTTTTGGAAGTTGAGATAATTGTGAAGAAATTAAATTAGGTTATCGATTAGCTGATCTGGGCAAAATGTACTATAAATGTTATTCTACTTAAATTATTTTGTTTTTTATAATATAACATATTTATTGGTCTGGAAGATGACTATACAAAGTGGGCCACAACGAGAACTTTGTGTTTTATTTTAAAATCCTCATTACAATCCTCCTTACCATCATGTTCCACACTGCAAACCACAGTTTCTTTTAGTGTAAGTGAATCACATACTAAATCATTTTCAGAGGTTTTTATTCAACATACAATGAGAATTATAACAACTGACATAGTTAATGAAATTGAAAATTTTAATTGTTAATAATTGTGTGAGTATGTTGGTATGATGATCTAGATAAATCTGGGCCCCTAGGTTAATATTTTGGGAGAGCTCCGTTCTAGACTTGATGTATTATTAGCTATTTCACATGTAATATAACATTTATTAATAACATAATGCAGCTTAGTTAATCAAAGCAGCATTTCAGATCCATCCAAGAACCAATGTACTATGCTTGTTTGAATCAGACATCTAGAATTTTATTTGTTTATGAGCTTGATGTATAAATACCCGCATCACTCAGAGCATATCGAACAGTAGTGATAGGCTCAATTTTGAGCTATTTAAGAAAACAATAAAAATACATACCTTTAAGATTGAGAGGTTTTATCACTACTCTGTATTACTACTAAATTGTTAGAAAACATGAACTTAGAGCTATGGTATAATTTTGATGATATACACAATTTTTTAATCTTGCAAATGTACTATATTGTTGGATAATCAATAAATTGCATCTCCAAGGTTGTATTAGTGGAGTAATATAACCAAAACTAGAGGAGGGGGGGATATTAAGTAAGGCACTCATATGGTAATGCTCTAACACTTTTTTTTACCTCGGAACATCAATATCTTTTCAAAATTAGGTTTGTCTCAAAAAGTTGGGTATACCATGGGAAACCTGATGAAACAAAGTAACTTTTTTTAAATCCACCAATGTAGCTTAAAAATTCATTCTGTGAGATCCATGTTAATTATTCATTTACTTTGCTTTGGCTGCCTGATGATCCATATTTTCTACAAATTGGTTTGAGTCTTGAATGAAATCCCTCACGTTCCAAAAATAGTTACAAAGGTTTAAAAAAAATGTTTATATTGGAAAACACTTTAAAACATATTTAGACAGAGGATGTATGATTGAGATTTCAGGTAAAGGGGGAAAAAAAAATTGATTACCGGTTTAATGATTCAACTAGTTACTTTGGGTGGGTATAAGGAGTAGAACGAATAGTCTTTTTAATTACTATTAACCTCTTCTCTTTCAAAAACAGTCAGTTTTATCTCCTTTTATTGAATTTTTTCTATCTTTATAGTGAGGAAGAAAAAAAAAGTCACCAATCACAAAGTTTGTTTTGTTTTTTAATTGGTTTAATAATATAAAAATATTTTAACTACTAAAGTATCAATATGCTTGTCAAAATTAAATTTTTTTGACGTTTAGCTAAACATATAAATAATGTAATTAAATAAATGTTATTTAATTCACTAATGTTACAAAATAAATTTACAATATTGCATTAAAAAATAGGATATATTAAAATTTATAATTAACCAAAATAAAATCCCTTAGTTACGGGGGAATAATCCTTAATGTTTGAGAGATAAAAAAAAGTTCTATATTTTTATGACTATTAAAATTTACTCTCCCCTTCCAGGTGCAATTACTTCTTTTACTTTTTCTAAGAGAACATTCTTCTTTCTGTCTTTGGAGAAAGGAACACCTTTACCCTTAAGGTAACAACAAAGTGAAGGAACATTTGCTTTTTCTAACTGATTTGTAAATACTAAATTTTCTATTTCCGCTGTGGTCAATATTATGGTTTTCTTTCGCTGTAATAAAGATTGATACGATTCATTAAAAGATCTGAATATTGACATTTTAAGAAAAAACTAACAAATGATATAAGTAAATAATATTATTCATAACATAGTTTGTAATATGGTACTAATCAACATATAATTTATTATTTATAATAACATTATCATTCCAAAATAGGTGTTGTGGAAATGTTCTTACCGTGGTACACGAGAAAAAAAGTTCATAAATGTGCCGATTTATATAAATGTCTAAAAATATAATATTCACATAAATGCCTAAAGAGTCAAATTTATAAGAAAGGCTAAATGTTCCATAAAGAATCAGCAACAGTTTATTATAGGAATATTAGCCACATCCCTGGAGAGGAAGCCATTGCCAAGAAACTGACCTAGTGACTAATACCTGCTTAGATGATAGACCTCAGGAACTAACTCATATTTTCTTCACTATTCCGGGATAAGAAAATCCTCTCTTGTGGACAAGACAAAAGAAATTGTCGACAATTGAAAATATCTGGTGTGTCCACTCACACGACTTTCCTACCTATTTTAGAAATGTTTTTATATCTTTACATATGTTCATGAAGAAACAAAAAAGAATTGAACTAGATACATTTTCCTGAAAATTGATCAAACATAAGATCTAAGGATGGTTTATTTGATAAACTAAACCAAAGTAAACCAGCTTTAGATAGATCAGTATAAAAATTTCAATACTTCCTAATATTGCTGATCAAAACTTTTTGCCATAGCTTAGTATTGTCAAACAATAATTTCTGTTAAAAGTAGAGGAAATAGTGAAGATTGTGTGATGCGGGCAACAGATTTGTTTTGTTGATAATTTAATTACCTTTCAAAAGTTTTATTATAAATTTTACCATAGAATACATACTTGGCGAGTTAGGCCCCATAACATTTTTCTTTTCTTTATAACTTTTTTTCGGGAATTTAGTCTATATACGAAAATTGAAAGAACAATGATTAGAACATTATATAGGAAAGTTTCATCAAAATCGTTGAGCCGTTTTTGCACTACAGTGTATAGAAAAACGTTTTTCAGTTATTGAGTGCAAGCTATTTCGCAAGGAGAACCGATTGAACCTGTCACGGGCATCAGTAGTCAAAACCCTACAAAATAAAAAAAGAAGCAACAAAAACGGTTCAGTAGTTCCCCTAGAAAATCTTGGCACAGACAGACCAATGGCTAAAAATGTGTTTTTCGGACTCAGGGGCTCTGAAACGTATAGATCCGTCGGAAATTTGATCCGATTGCAATACTTTACTTACCTAGTATAGGTAGGAAAGTAAAAAGCAGTATTACTTGGAACTGCAAGTGTCAAACAATTTATGAATATTACAGAATAAATTTTTCTAGCCTCTCTTAAAAAAAAAAAAAAAAAAAGGTATTTACGTAAATAATAGGCAGTCCTAATCAATGATTATGTAGGAAAGATGATATAAGACAATATGTGTCAGGAGCTTTGACAACTATAGACTGAATTATAAACAGGTATTTCTGATAGTAATTTCCAGCAATGACTCCATCCTAGATGATACAATCTTCTCTGCTGAGTATTTGAAACTACCAGAAAAAGTATCGGAAGAAGGCCAGAAAAGATTAAGGTACCCCTCAGCAGAGCAAATATTGTCAGGAAGTTTTTGAATATAGTTTAACACCTTGATCCGGGAGTAGGTGAATATTTCAGGTCAATACCAAGAAAGTTTAAAATAATAAATATATATAAATTATGTTCTAATAACAAATATAACCTCTTTTGGTGGAACACTGGAGGGAGTGTTTGACCTTTTTATCACATTTTCTTTAGCAACATTTTTGTTTTCATACATTAGTGGCAACACCTCCATATCAGATACAAAACACATAAATTTGCTTTTGTCCTAAAAAAACAAACAAAAACTCGACTAAAACATCGACTTGAAAGTACATTCTAATCTAAATGATGCACTAATTATTGAAACTAATCATGTTGATGTTTAGAAGGCAGATGTGTAAGTATAGCAATTTCACTACTAAACTTATAGCATGGATATATATTATATTATAAGAAATATATTTTTAATAACCTCTTTTGGTGTACTGGCAGGAGTGTTCCCTCTTTTAATCACATTGTGTTCACTAATAATATTAACATTTTTGTTTTCAAACACAACTGCTTGCATTTCAGATACAAATGAGTCCATTTTGCCTTTATTCTGAAAAATGTTACAATTAATATATATACACTAGTTCGCAGAAAATTTTGTTTAATGAAGAAATAGCAAAACAATATGGAAATGAGTAGTTCCTATGTATTATGTAAGGAAGGAATTAATATTTTTCCCTTCGTCGATTACAATATTTCATTTAACATAATAGACCCAAATATTTGTACAAGTAAAGTAGGACCTATTTTTAAACGCTGACTGGAAAGATAATAAAAGTAATAAAGACAAAATAATGCCCCAATCATGGGATTTTCTAAATTATTAAAAAAAATAAATAAAATGTAAGAATAAATAAATGCCTTTAAGAAATAATAAAGTTAATATATCAGACAGGAAAAAAAGTTTAGCAGATTGTTCTACTCCTAAATGCAATATCCTTAAAGAGGAAGAAATTATTAAGTATATCAAAACTAATGGACTGTAATATTTGTTAATAATTTTCCGATTTTTACGATATGTTTCTTGTTTTGTAGGTAATTTAGTCATCTTTCTAATTATCATGGGTACAATCAAGAAAAAAATATGTACTTCTTATGTTTTATGCAAATAAAATTTGTTTTCATTCATTTTTTTTTTCTAAAATTTAGGGTGTGTGTGTCTATATATATATATATATATATATATATATATATATATATATAGAGAGAGAGAGAGAGAGAGAGAGAGAGTTTTATAAGAATGAAAAATACAATTCCATATTAAAGAAGATACATACCTCTTCGAACGTTGCATCATGAACTAGATTGGGAAGTGGATGAAGACATGTATCAATAGTTGAAATTAAAATGCTTTCAGGTTTATTTGTAACTTGATCCTCTACAACCTCTTCATGGTTAATTTTTCCAGTCTGAAGAAAAGAAAAAAGTGAATTATGCACAGCTGCAAGTTTTAAATAACAGCAAGAAGAGTTGAAAAAATACGTAGTAATTAATATCAATAAATTCTATAATTTTATCATAAATTATTTATCAGTTTTACTATCTTCATCATGTAGATAAGGAAGACATTGTAATTGTAACAAACATTCAGAATCGGATTTCTAACAGATTTTTACAGTTTTGAGCCCAAGAGTTCAAATATGGCATATTCAACCATTGGTCTATGTGTGTGTGTGTGTGTGTGTATAAGTACTATGAGTATCACTTCAACAGAAGGACCAAACTTGTTTAGTAGAATTTCTTCTCCAAAGCCTATCTGAATGTATTTAAAAACTTAAATGATACCTCTGTTGCCAGATTTTAGACTGGAAGATAACCTTGTCAAATATACATTTTGATTTTTTATAAATTATTTTAATCACATGCAATAATTTGTAATTATTATTTTGATAACAAAAAGTTTCAGAAGCACTGAAAGAGTCTCCTTTAAGTTGTTTACATGAGTGCCAGGTTATTCTGAAATTACAGATAATTTTAAGTGGTTGAATTAATCAGGGAAGGATCTGAATACATTATATGAGATATACAAGCTATATGAAAATTAGAAACAACATCCATTTTTTAGTTTCATTTATTACATTTGGTTCTAGAAGTTTTCGGTGCTCTGCACTATATTCATCTTTTCAAGTTAATTTCATTCACTTTGGATGTTATTTTTAAAAAATTTGTTTGCTTATTTCCAATAATTGTAGATTGTTGTCTGAGGGTATCTTATGTATATTAAGGAGGGGAGTACGCCGAATTTGATAGGGAGGGAATTACAGAAACTGACAGCGTAGGCAACAAAGGAATTTTGGAATGAGACAGAACTGTGAGAAGGGATGCAAAGGTCAGAAGATCGAGGTCTTGTGGTAAGGGATGGACTGAGAACTTGAATTGGAGAAGATTGTAGACATAAGAATGATTTTTGATGATTTGAAAAAGGAATGTGCCTAGGAAATATTGTCTTCTTAAGGAGGGGAAGCGCCACCCTAACTCAGTGTAGTAGTGGGAGACACGGGAGTGTCTCAGGGTCCCAATTACAAATCTCACGAAGCTATGCATTAGTCATTTCAATATATTATGGAGCTCCACGGAGATCATCGTACGCCACACACCTGTAGTCAAAGTGGTGGGAGATGAGAGAGGAAACTAGGAGTCTACGTGTATTTTGTGGCAGATGGCGGAAGAGATGGAATAGTTCAAGGGTAGAAATTGCCCGACAGGAGATGTGAAAAATATAGTGATTCCAGGTGAGAGTTTGATCTATGAAAAAGCCTAAATTTTTAACAGAGGGGTAGGTGATGGGATGGTTATTTAGGTTAAGTGTGGGAAAGTTCAATTATAGATAGATTGCTGTGCACACAGGTTATCCTCCCTATGGATTAGCTTATACAGAAGAAGAAATTTCATCACCAAGAGATGAGAAAATCGTTGGTGTTATAGGCATTGAACCTCTAGGTTCCTTAGACATTATTTTAATGCAGTATACTGTTATTAATAAAAAATTTCATAAAATAATCAAATGCAGGTAAACACTGATTAATAACATTCTACCTTAAGTTAAAATATACAAATATAGTAATATTGAAATTAATATAGATATATAAAATCTAATACAACTGTTCAAAGCTGGATAACCAAACTAAGATAAATTTTAATAATCAATCAACAAGGGAAAATTTCAAGAAAAATAACTCATGTAATTTAAGAGCAAACCTCAATACTAGTCATATCAGAATGAACCACCATTTGTTTTTCTTCTTCACAGTGTAAATTATTCACTTGCATTGTTGTCTCTTGAACATTAGGTGCAGATACCATTACTGAGTTGCTTTCTTTGAGGATCTCAAAATTAATTTGCATCTAAAAAATAAAACAAAAAAAAATTAATCTTATAATTTCCGTGAGGTCAGCATTAGACGTATTGGTACTAAAATGGGGCTACTTAAACAATGTCATTTTGATGAACTATCTAACCGTCCCTGATCCCAAATTAGAAAATTAGACTTAGATGCTGAATTATCTCAGAAAGCATATTAATTTAATATTTGATCAAAATAAGGTTAACATTAAGAAAATGATTTAATTAATCAAAAAATCATATCTAAAATAAAATAAACTTATCACAGTATAATCGTGATTTTGTATTGTCAAGGGACCAGGATTAGCAAGATTTCCACAAATAGGGAGTAAAAATAAAAAATTATTACTGAAAATGAAGCAAAGAATATAGATAGAAAAATCAAATAAAACAATTTTACTTCTAAAATAATCAGTTATTTTCTTCTGATGTAATCCATGAAGACAGGTTGGCACTTGTGAGCGACACGGACTCTATGGACTGCTATCTGCAATTATCTTGTTATTATTAAATTACTATATTATTATTATACTTACATTTCTTATTAATATATATAAATATATGTATGTTAATAAGAAACAGGCAAAAAAGAGACAACACAAAATATATTTAATTCTTATTACAAGAGAGTCTAATTTCATATGTAGATAGGGATTATTTAATAATAAGTAGTTTATAATAATAAGAAATATAAATAACAACAACACTTTAAATAACAAGATAACTGCAGATAGCAGTCCATAGTCGCTCACAAATACCAACAGCTTCTGTCTTTAGCTTTGTCAAGCGTGTTTAGAGCAGAGAAGATGTCTATACCAACATCCCATTTCATTAAAAATGATCCACATTGTTCATGTACTGCTTTGCTATTTTTTGAGTAATTGATGGCATACCATCTTCTTCATCTTCCCTATCAACATCCTAAAACGGAGCTATAATTCCCTCTTCTGTTAAAATTCCTGCTTCTGCTCAACAATCAAAATGGACGAAATCTTCAAGTGGAGTTTCTTAATTTTGAGAACCGCAGAACCATACCTGAGGCCACCCTAAATCATTTAAATTTTCACTAACTAGCGGCAGCAGTTGAGGACAGGATGTATGTCTTATCCCTCTAATTGTCCTCATTTAACCCTCTCTCCCAATTATCATCCTAAATTTAACCATCCCCCCATTTTAATATAACCCACAACCAAAAAAATTCCAAACCTTTACCATTTCAATATTGCTCAATCCCCATGTCATCTTCCCCCACCCGTCTTCCTCCGAAACTCAATCCTTTTAATTTCCCCTTCCATTCTACTTCCCTCCAATCTCCCAATAACCCCCCCCCCTAAAACTAATTCCTCCTAACATTACCCTCCAAATAACCACCCACTCACATCCCCCCTATAACCAATACCAACCAATCTAAAAACCCCCCCAAACTACCTCCCAAAACCACCCATCCCATCTTTAATCAAAACCTCATAAACCCCAAAAATCATTCACCCCCCTTCTTACTCCACCCCAACCCAACCTTAACCCCTCACAACCCATACAAAACCAACCACACATTAAAAAACTCTTACTTTGTAATTCTTCCCCCCCCCCCCCCTCCCAACCCATTCACCTACCAATATCTAATCATAATACATTTCATACCCCCCAACCCAACACTAACATCCTACCACATAAAATCACAAAAAAAAACAATCTCATAAACTCCCAACCATCTATCCCAAAACCCCCCACCCCCATTCCCCACCCCACCCCACCCCACCCCCCCCCTCCTCTATCATTACCACTTCCCCCCCCTCCCATCCCAACCTACTCCCTCTAACCAACATCCAATCCCCCTTCTTCTTCCTTCATTATCCCCCCAATTTTACTTATAACTCCCCCCATCACCATCCTAACCCCTAACCCCCCCCCACCCCCCCCCCTTTGTCCCCCCTTATAAAAACCCCCCCACATCCCAGAACCACCCCCCACCAACCCCAACAATTACATATCCCCCCCCCCCCACAACACCCCCTCCCCTCCCCCCCCTTCCCCCCCCCCATCCCCCACCCCCAACTATAACAACCCTTCAATAATCACACACACCCACTACTTACAACCATGCCTTAATTACCATCAACCCCCACTAACTAACCCCTCCAAAAACAAAAACCCCATAGACCCAACAAATCCAAAAATAACAAACCCACAAAAAAAAACAAACATACCCCCCCCATTTTGGAAGTCACTGATTTTGATTTCAATAGCGTCCTAGAGACCTTTTTTTTCTCTTCCTAAAAACAATAAAGTGGATTAGTAATTAAACAAACTATAAGACACTTATACATGATGTCCATTGGTACAGCATAATTCAAAGCCCTGAACTGTTAAATTTAAGTCCCTTTTCGTAAATTTATTGGATTAAATTAAAAATAATACTGAAACTATGTAAGATCATAATTTTCTTCGATTTAATTGACCATTTTCAATTTAATCAATTAATTGTTTTCCATTACATTCATTCACTAAATTACAGTTTAATGTGGGCTCATATTATTTTTTATCCAGCTCCTCCTTTACACCACTAAATTGGTGATGACCTGACAGCTTTATTTAATAGGTAGTTGAAACGTTTAGAAATCAAAACTTTTTGGAGCAGTGAAGTTAGTATTTTCAGGTGTCAAGAATCTTTAGCAAACTGTTTACCTTCACCTTAATCGCGAATATACTTATTTTTGTGTAGGTGGAATCATAATAACAAGATTAATCAAGAAATAATGGAAAAATAAATTTTTTTATTTATTTATTTTTTTTGTTCTTCCCTACCTCGCCTTTTAGGCTATCGGGATTTTCCCGGGCCGAGGGGTGAGGGCGGGGAATTTAAAATCCCCTCCGGCACCGGGACGCGAACTCGTACTTTTAAATCTTCCCAAATCTGTAATCCGGTTGCCAGGCAATTCGCGGTGCTGTGCACACGCTTTAGCCCATTCGGCCCCTCCTCCCCCCGAAAAATAAAATTATATGAAAACTCCCAGATGATTGGTTTTTTTTTTTAAAACACAAGCCTTTGCCCAACATTACAAATTTAGCCCGAAATCCTCCCTTCCACTGTTGACTCTTCAGTAAGGATGACTATAGTATGTAATAAAACAATGACTTCATAATTAAGAAAATATTAGAATAAAAGCAAAAATTAACAAGTTTATTTATTTTAAATTATAATAGTAAATTTCTTAGCAGTAAGCCTTCTTCAGAGTTACAGCAGACTAGTATAACTACTGAAATTGGTATATCCTATATTAAATGAGCAAAAATAAAATAATAGTAATTGCAACAATGATAAAAGTAAGGAGAAAGATATTACCTGAAGTGATTTAACAGCTCCTTTGGTCTTTATTTTCTTAAATACTGGCTTAAATGGAACATCAGTAGACGGTACAACATTTGTAAGAGATATTTCATTTTTATGCGTCAAATTATTCTCAAATAATATTTTATCACAGTTGCTCATGGTTGTATGAACCTCCTGCTGTTGCTTACCTGATAACTCTAATGATTCTGTTTTGCTACAGACACTATTGAAACATGGTTTAAACGGAGTTTGCTTTTGCTCTGATTCTTTGTCATGAAGAAAAGAGCCTTCTTCCATTTTTGTGATTGTAGATAATGATGTCTGCTGTTCAGAATCTACTTTTAATGGCGATTGTATACTTATTTCATTAAAATTTGGCCTACTAGCTTTAAGGAAACTTCTCTTTTGGCCTCCTTGTGTTAATTTGTCAATGAACTGTGAACACTTGGACAACCAGTTGTCATATTCCTGTTTTTTGTTAGGATTGTCCTAGAAAATAAGAAAAACAAAACATTGAAAAAAATAATAATAGAAGATAATCACTATAAATTATTTCTGAAAGGTAGTTTTTCAAACTTAAAAATAATGATTGAGTCATTTTATAGATGACCACAAATACCGTGATGATCACAAATAAATAAAAAATTAAATGTTACATGATACTTCCCTTAATTTAACTTTAACACTTATTTAATTAATTCCCACATTCTATTACTTTAAAATAAAATAACTTTCATAAATAAAAACTTACATTGACTTATTTTCACATTAAATTACCATTTGGTGACAGACAAATGAACCATGAAAATTATTGTGACTTCTCCTGGATAACAAATAAATTCATGGATAAATAAATCCCTGTGCTTCACATCAATGCAGTCTAATGCATCAAATGCATTGCAGATCATAACTGCATGCTTAACTGTGTTTGGAACACCAGAAATGAGACATTGTCGATCCATATTCTGACCAAGGCTAGATAGCTTGGTTCAGAACCCCCAGATCTTGTGGAGAACTGTGAAATGCAATAGTCTGAAAGGGCTCATAGTGCATCTAGCCAAGATTGTATTGAGGGGAAGTATTTTTTCCAGATTTAAAACGTCTCATTTCTGAGAAACTTCATAAATAAAAAGTATTTTTTAACGATACTTCCTTGCAGGAAACAAATTCAGTACTACAAACAGTTACATGAAAAATTAAATGGACATTCCTCGAATTTTTAGAAGCAATGACTACATCAATGATGCCAGAGAATACCAGCAAGAGACTGGAAAGGTGAGAGATCTACTTACATAAACATGTAAGTAATAGCCCACAAGTACAGACTCCATTTTATTGTAACTTTTAACTTTTTTATTTATAAAAATTCTCAGAAATGGGGAGTTTTCGATCTTGAGATCAGTCCTCATTTTTGAGTGAGATCAGTATTTCATTTTTTAATTAAAAGAAATACTAAAAACTCACTAGCACCCATTTGTTATCCACTTAGATTGTATGATAGTGGTAAAATCTGGTGCCCACAACACACAACTTTCACTTACCACTCAACTTTGAACAGAAATTATTTTCTGACAATGTTGAACTATTCCAAAATTTTTGAATTGCAATTTTAACCAAGCTAAAGCTAAAATTTTACAGCTACCAAATCATAAATACCATTAAAATAACAACAGTCCTATTTATTATATCACCCGTTGATGATAGGTTGCACGATTTGTTGATTATGGATTGTACGACTATTAGTTATTAAACTGCTTTTTTCCACTGGAAAATTTACTAAATTGGTCATAGAGATTTGCATTGTCTGTCATAGACAGGACAAAAGTCGTCACACTAATTTTAAGTTGATACTGTTGGAATATCACAAAGGAAAAATTCATCAAATTATTCACAAATTTAATTTTCTAAAAGGTTACATGATCATTTTTTGGAATAAACGGCGGATAGATACCTAATTATTTTAATATGATTTCAGATCTAGAGTTGTATTGCAGATGTATTTTTCTTTTTTTCTTCTTTATTCAATCATCAAATTCTTTCAAAAGTTATATTTACCATTTTTTCGTAACTTTAAATAATGTGAGATGATTAATTATTTCAAATAAACCATATTAAAGGTACTTTGGAGGAAGACATGATAATGTTGGGATTTCATAATGGAAAATTCATCAAATCATTCACTAATTTAATTTTCTAAAAAGTTACATGATCATTTTTCGGAATAAATGGACGATAGATACCTAATTATTTGAATATGATATCAATCTAGAATTATTAAACTACAGTAAATGTATTTAAGGTTATAAATATATGCTTTATACATCCATGAAATGATTTGATATTTCACTTATTCTTTGATACAAATACAATGAAATAGTTTTTTAAACATTGGCATTGCCTTGATTAGGTGGATTTTAAATCCTTTTTTCAAACTTAAAATATTTTAAAAGTTTACATTTAGTTTGTAAATTTCATTTAATTTCCTTGAAAACATATGATTAACGTTAAATAATATTAGTTTTCAAAAATTATTATTTATATATTTTTCATCACTCTTCGTTATCTTCTACAACTTTCTATATTAAATATTGTTTTTTCTAAAATTCTCTGCTTGCCAATAATATATTATACCTATACCTTCTGACTAGTATTTCCGGAGATTTATTTTCAACCTGGATAAGCATTTTTATTTTTTTTTCCTTTATTAAATTATAAAATTCTTTCAAAAGTTATATTGATCATTTTTCCGTAACGCTAAATAATGTGAGATGATTAATTATTTAAAATTAACCATATTGAAGGTACTTTAGAGGAAGCCTTATATGAACATTGAGCATTTAAGCCCTGTAAAGTGACGTCAATGGGGATAAGACCTGATTGATATCAAAGACCACTTAATTATACTATGATACACTGAGTTTAATCAAAATTGTTAGAGTCATTTTTGAGAAAATTGTAAAAATGTGTTTCAGCATTGATATAAGGTGGCACTTCCGATGAGCCGATTATATGGAAAAAGTTGTTGTCATATTTAAGGCATATATCTATATTAAATATGCGATTTAACTTTCTTACGATTTTTCATTTTTGAGCTAGACTGCTAACACACACACAAACAGACAATTTTGTGGGACTTGGTTATTTGGTCTCAGAGGAAGTCAAAACATGTATTTCTGTTGAAAATTCAGATTCGAAAATTTTCACGATCGCAATACTTGCCCTTACTATACATTTCATATATAGGTAAGTGAAAGTAAAAAAGATAGCCAACAAAAATTTGGTATGTATAACCTCTGTATTTTGACATGTTGGGGATAGAAGTCATGCCAAATGAACCAATATTTTATAGGCCACCCTTTTCCGCAATTTTGTGATCTAGTTATCTTAAAATTCAAGTGGAAAGCAAATGGGTGGTTCCTGAGTTTTTGTAACCTCATTAAATTAAAAAGAGTCTACAAATCTCCAGATTTAAAACGTCTCATTTCTGAGAAACTTCATAAATAAAAATGAATGTTAATAATTTGATAAAAAGGGGTCAGTACTGCATAATATAAAGTTAAAAAAGGAAAGTGGGTACAGCATCTCCTCATAACTACCTTGTCAGCTTCATAATTAACTGATCCCATTAGCTGATTTCTAGCTGTGTACTCAACAATGTCGATTAAACAAAAAAAAATATTATTCAATCAGTCCATATATTGTTTTTTATGTCATAATTATATTTCTACTAATATGGAAAACCAAGAGAAATTAAAAAAAAAAAATTGTTTTTGTTAAGTTAAAACAAAAATTGTGTAAATAAGTACGTAGTAGTAGGTAGAGCTTGCTTACCCGATTTTGCAATGAACCTCAAAAGAAGACAAAGGAAATTAGCACAGGGTGGGTTCATATACATATTCATCAGTTCTTGAGAGAGGCACATCATGAAATTTGCTAGAGTTAAATTTTTTACTTTACCTTTTTTTTTAATATGTTTAGTCTGACATTGTGTTTAACTTTCTGAAATTCTAGCAATAAATCTTTCCTCCAAAACTTGTTCTTTAAATTTTTATTTTAGTCTGTACTTTTTTTAAATTCTATTTTAATAGTTCCTGTAAAACTTTTCAGGAATATTTGTTTTTAAAAATAAAATTTATAAGGAACTTTTCAGTAATAAAGTTCTATTTATATGGTAATATTTTAACAGATGTCGACACACAGATTAGACAAGACATCCATACATGAGTCAAAGGAAAAACAAAGAGTTGAGGAAACAAGTGGAGAACGGAGGAATGGAGATGGCCTTCTCTAACTGGTCAAGGAGTAATTCAGATTCATAGCATATACTGCTTCCTATAATACAGCATTGTGGTTATCTTTACTTTCCAACAGCTACTAGGCACGGCTTGCGTATTGCAATTGGCTCAAATTTAGGAAATGCACTTTATAATGGATCTTTGCTTTTCAGAGCCCCTGAAGTCTTGAATTTGCGTGAGGGATTCAAGATGGAGTTATTCAAATAATGAAGTATCGGATAGGATGTTGACATTTAGATTTTAGGTAACTGATTAATAATATAACCACCACTGGATTTAATGACAATAACATAATAATTTACTTAATAATACTATTATATACCTCTATAGTGTCGTCAGGCATATCACATTGCTCTTGTTCCGCATACAAACTAATGTTTTGGCTTTCAAAGGTCAAGTTCAAAGATTCATCACTTTGGAATAACCATTTATTCAATAATTCACTATCTAATTCAGCTAATCCTGACTCGCTCCATTTAAGTCTCTCGCTTATCTTAAAAAGAAATTATTTCAATACAAATAAGCAAAAGTATAGTAAATATATATGTAAATAATAAATATGGTATATAAGAATATAATAAATAAGAATGGTTTAGTTATGGTGTTTCACAATGAAAAAAGATCTGTTACTTGAATGAATGAATGAAAACTAATTTTATTAACGCCTTATTTCCTAAATACAATAAAAATTTACAGTTCTGCAAACATTTTTCTGGATTAAGATAGGAATTACTGTATTATGAAATCAAATTATAAAACAAAAGAAAGTATAAGTAAATAAATTAAAATATTGAAATTAAATATATAGATACAGATATTATGATGACTGTAATGGAGTAGTGCTGGATATATTGAGGTAAGCCTCCCCAGCTTGGAATCATAACCTCTCACAATTACAGAAGAGGAGATTGACGACAATCCAGAGAACGGCTCTGCTATGGGTAACAAAATCCTATACGACTGCTGATTATGAAGCAGTGCAGTTTTAGCAGGAGGGGTACTTAACGACCTTCTCGTGCAAGAAGGCAAGCTTAAGTATAACTTTTAAGAAAGAAGACTCTAATACGGGAGGACACCGGACACCATTGAGCAGTGGAATCGACGATGGTTAACTACTCATAAAGGCTCTACCTTGAGAAAATACTTTCCTACTGTCTATTCAAGGTTGGAAGCGATGAGGGTCCTTGGAAGCAACATCCTGTATTGTTCTGGAAACTGCTGAGTATATTCTCACGACTTGCATGGCTTTTGAAGCAATATAGCAATACGTCTATATAAATGACCTGCTATGCTTTATCCTGCACTGTCAATATCACCTGTATGCTGACAACGTTTAAATTTACCTCTCTTTCAATCCAACCGATTCCTCATATGCCATTCTAAGACTCCAAGAAGATATTAATAGAATAAGTGCTTGGACAAATCTTAACAGGCTCACTCAATGCCGAGAAGACAAAAGCCATCTTGATCGGATCCCCCTCACTCCTCAAATCCTTCCCGGTATCCCCCAATCTTCTTCTTCACCCTAAAACAGTTCAATGGTCTACATTATCTCCTTCCATATAAGTCCCGTCAACTTCTAGTCTTCTCCATTTTGACTATGGCTGCATGGTGTTCGGTGGACTCTTGGGAGATTTCAAAGCCAAACTCTAAACGCCTAATGAATTGAGCAGTACGCTTTATTTTTGGAATCTCAAGTCATACGTAAATTATCCAGTATTACACCGAGTTGAAGTGGCTCTATCCATCCTATCGCCATCAGTACTTCCTAGCTACCATTCTGTACCAGATCATTACAACTCATCGACCCTTCTATATTTTTCAGAGCTTACAATTTAAATACTCCATCCAATGCCATCCCACTAGATCTCGTACTTCCGATCTCTATCCTCCTCCTCACCAAACTGCTGCATTTGACAAATCCTTTGCAATTCAAGCTGCCTCCCTCTGGAATTCCATTCCTACTGATATTAGACATGCACAATCAGTTTTCTCTTTCAAACCTCTCCTGTTTAAACCTACTCCTTTCTTAATCCGGCTGATAACGAAATATACCTAAGGGAACTATCTAAGTACCCCCAGATAGTATTTCTGTTATTTTAGTTTCCTTTGTTTGTCTTAAATATATGTACGCTTTTCTTGTCTTTTTCTCTCTTATTCAGTATTTTTACTTTTAATTAACTATTATTGTAAATATTTAATTTATGTATGACCACATAGACATGCCTTCTGTACTTATAATTTGTTCTAAAGGGACAATAGTCCTAGAATAATAAAATATATTTTCAATTCATTTCAATAAGGGCCAAACTACTGAGGGAAATGGTACTCTACATTAACACAGAGGACAATTTCCCTCAGTTAATAAGTAAGAATAACTGGGTAGTACTATGGAGCATTCATGTAAGTATGGAAGGAATTGATGGGGAATGATCATTTCAACCTCCACTAATGAAGATCAAAGAACCAGAAAGTAAGTGGTGAAAGTATCGCGCAACTTCTACTAAAAATGTGCATTGATGAGGCAAGTGAAAAAGAAAATAAATAAATAAAAGATAAAGATATGATGACATGCATGCACATTTAATAATGAAAATAATAGCAATGAAATAGGAAAAAAATTATAAGAACACATGAATAAAAAAACAATGTTATATATATTTGGAAGAATGGTAATTGTTAAGAAGATGGAAAAATAATTTATTTTTAAATTGCATGTCAGAGAACTGATTCACTCACTTTCTTGAGTTTAATATACCCTACTAATACAAAGCTGCTACTATAATCATACTCAGCTCTACCCTTACCTTACCTGTACGATTGCCAGAACTGACCTAGTCTGTTAGTTTCGTCTTTCACATGTCGGGAAACTGATCTCAAAAGGTGTGCTGTTTTTAATTACTTATTAAGGTCAGATAGCTGATCCTCTCACTTGCTTGAGTAGAGTATGTATTAGAAGCAGATCTTTTTATCATACTTGCCTCACTTATTCTACCTAAGCCCATCCAACTCATACAATGATTAAGAGTAATAATACTGTCAGGGAAAGTAGTATTTAAAAAAAGAACGATATTACAAATAATATACAATATGCATATAATGGTACTAGTTCACAAGAGTCCTGCACGGATTCACGGTGGTTCACAATCACTTCGATTACACTTGTTCATGGAATATCAAAAACAGCTGAATGTTGTCGTCTTTTATGACGTCAACTATTGCCCCATCACACAATCCCTTTCCATGCATTTTTGAAAAAGAAAAAAAAAAAACGTATTCGCTTCATGGAACTTCCTTATTAACAAATTGTGTATTTACTAATTAGTTAATTATTAATTTTTATTATAGCGGTTATTACTGTGAAAGAAAAAGAAAAAATATATAAATTAATGTTTGAGTCGTTTCTTCAAGGGCTGTTAAAAAAAAAACGCTTTTAGAAATAACATTTTTATTGACACATGCTTGCGTAGTGGCTTTAAATACGCAAACAGTATTGTAGTCATTATCATCATTGTAGTCATATATATTGTAATCATTCGTAAAAAAAAAAAAAATCGTGTTTATTTTCGAGAAAGGAATTAATGTAATGGGGAAACAACTGACGAAGAATATCTGATAATTCCGAGATAATGAATAAAGGAAATCATCAATAAAAAAAAAAATATCGTGAAATAGTATTACATTCGGAGATGTAATAAATAAAGGTTTTTATCTATTACTATTTCTTTTTCACATATCTATAATATATGTACAAGCTCGATTCAGGTTTCATGATGTGTAGCCTGAATTTCGAATGTAAGTCGGCTCCTCCTATATAACTGAACATGATTAAGGTTGTAGAAGTACTTAAATGGCGGGAAAGTTAATAGTAACTGATTTAAGAGATCGGTCGCCTTTGTTCTCTTTCCAATAAACCCGAACGCATTCAATACTTATTGAACAAGTGTGACCGAAGTGATTGTGAACCATGTGTAATCCATGCGAAACTCATGTGAACTAGTACCCATATAACTTTACTCACTTTGATTTTAGGCATGTTTTGTAACTCTGTTAAATTCCTAAGTTTTATTCTATTTCCACAAACATGAGCTGCCTTAGAAGATACAGCTTTTGCAAAGTTTGCAACAACATTAGGTTCATCCATATTCATATGCATTCCTCTTCTTACACACTCCAGGGGATATAGAAAATCTTTATTCCCGAAAAATGATATACCAACATATATAGGAGAAGAATCATCTTCTGGAAGCCGGTAGCCATACTGAAAAAAACAAAAAAAAGTTGGAAGTGAGACTAAATAGAAATACCTATTTTACTATAACTTATTAGAAATATTAGGTTATATTCATAATATAACCACAATTAGTTCAACCTTCAATTAGGTAGTATAAAACTATTTTGATTGTTTTTTAAAAATGCATGTTGTATGGAAAAAGCAATAACTGAACAAGGAATTCATAATTGTACCTAGTATACTTTTTTTTTGTTAACCGGTATACCTTAGTACTTGTAAATACCAATCCATAATTTTACTAATAAAACATAATTGAAATTTTCAGAAATGATCAAGAGATTAGGAAAATGAACTGAAGTTTCCCTTCACTATAAATGGAAGTAATAAATACAATACTATCAGTCTCTTTAAGATTGGGTAATAAAGTACCAAGGAACAAAAGAACTATCTCAGATCATTGCAAAATACTTTATTTAGAGATTAAGAAAAAATTTAATTAATTAAATGTAATATATAGATATAATTTAATACATACAGTGTTTTTCCAATGACGTCGCATTTGCTGATAATCTTCGAAAGTTGAGTCTTTGGGTATGCGATTGGTCACATAAACTAGATGGCCTCTTTTGAAGCTAAATAATATATATAGATTACAATAAATTATTGAATATATAAGAATTAATATTTTTTTCACCCCCCAATTTTATTATATTTCTAAATGATGAATTAATATCAGAATCTAGGCACATAAAATTAGTCTAAAAATTTATTATATCAAATGCCAATAAAAGATATTTTTCTCTTATTTTTCTTCAGTTAATTATCAAATTCTTTCATATTTTATATTTAACTATTTATTATATCGAAAGATAAATGTGAAATGGTCAATTATTTCAAATAAAAAAAATTAAAGATATTTTAGAAGAAGCTAATATTAAAAATTAGCCATTTAAACCCTGTTAGAGAACATCAATGAGAATGAAATCAACATTATAGTACAAACTGCTTATTAATACACTGATATACTGAGTTTAATCAAAATCGTTAGAGCCATTTTTGAGAAACGTAAAAATTTTTGTAAATGGATGATATAAAGTACCAATTCCGGTTTGCCAATTTTTATGAAAATGTTGCTGTTACATCCCAGGCTTATAAAAACCCTAAATACTCAATTTCAGTTCCATATGACTTTTCGTTTTTGAGTTAGGCTGGTTCACACACACAGACCATTTTGTGGGACTTTGTTATTTGGACTCAGTAGACCTCAAAACGTGTATTTCCGTAGAAAACTCAGGTTCAAACTTTCCGCGATCGCAATAATTATATTATATATATAGGTAAGTAAAAGTAAAAAAGAAAAATTGAGTTGAACACATCTAAATTGCACGACTTTAAAATTCCTTTAACCCAGCAAATAGAAGTATATTAAAAACAAATAAATTGCCTCGCAATAAAATTCACATGATTCTTCAAATGTAAGTATTTATTAACAAATCAACAATAAACTAAAATAAAAGACAAAAGGTATATTTAGTAACCAAAAACGACACTTTAGTTGATTAAAAAAAAAACTGAAATTTTCACCTGGGTAAAACATGAACCCACTGACGTTCAGAATGCAAATCAATATAAAATGGTTTTGATATAGTTTCTTTTATGTTTGAAGATGTTAAAAGATCAAATAATGATACTTCACGCAACCAAAGTCGTAAAGGTGAAGCATATAACATCAACATATCACCTAAAATAATTTTAATTGTAAAAACAAACCATAAGTATATGAGGGATTATTATCAACTACATACACATATAAGCATTGAGGGGGGTCAATTAGAAGGATGTTTTTCATTCTTCAAACAATTTAGTTTTAAGATACTTTACTGATGTTATATTTTCATTCATGAACAGTAGATTGACACCAATGCATAAAAGTTCAATAGATTTTAAATCAGGAACCTGAAGAGCAGTTTCATGTTCATTCAGAAAATTATATAGCACCCATTCCCGTGTGTGTAGAGCTTGAGACTAAAAGTTATCCTAGTAAAGTTTAAATGTTCGTTCATTTTTGACGCACCAGCATTACCGGTCGACAGATATAACAACAGAAATAAATGAGAACAATTAGGAAAACAAGCCAGAGTGAATAGAAAGAACTCTCATAAATCTAATAAGTAAGAAATATAGGTTGGCTTTTTTTCAAACTGATTATGAAAAACCTTTAGTGATGTAATAGATTCAGATGAGAACAAATTTAATACCGATAGTGTGGAGGAAAATCAGAAGTAAATTTGTCGACAAAAATGAAAGATGTAGATGTTGATGTTCTTGTGAGAGTTTGTCTACATTTGGAGTCGGGAATTTGGATTTTATCACCGGAGAAATCGAGGAGTATAAATTTAAAAGGAATGAAAAGAAAATTTAAAGAATGGTTGTACCAAAAGTGGGTTTAGAATCACCACTAAAATTTTATCAGGCTATAACCCTTAGACCCAAGATCCACTACACATGGGAATGGCTGCTACATAATTGACAAAATGAACATGATATTGCTCTCCTGAGTCTAGATTGAAATTCTATCAAACGTTTAGGGGTTTGTGTCAATCCACAATTCATGAATAATTATATCAGTAAAATATCTTGAAACTAAATTGTTGGAAGAATGGGAAAAAATACCCTTCTAATTGAGTTCAAAGTCAACCCCCATCAATGCCTAAAACTGGTATTAAAATAAATAAACTTCATCCATTAAATTAATTTAAAATTTGACTGCATAAATTATAATACAATGTGATTTTAAATGAAACTTTTTCTGCATTATATTTGAAGCTTTATTTAAAATATATGAACTTATTGTTAGGCAAAAATGTTGATAAAATTAATTGAAATTATATATAGACGTTTAAATTTAAAGATTGTGTAGCAAAGAATCCTTTATTTATATGTAATAAATATAATAATATTTATTTATTATTTTATTTCAACTAATGTGTGTACAACTTTTTCTAGCCATTCTATGTAGAAAAATAAAAGAGAGATATAAAAATAATTAAAACACTTTATGACTGAATTCCAAGCTGAAGTGAACAATGTATAAGTAAAATGAAACTAAATATAAACAAATTGCTCACAGTGTAAACATATTTAACAAAAAAGAATTACCTTATGTCAATATATTCTCAAACTACTGGCAATTGTAAACATTTTTAAATGTCTTTAATCAATTTATCAACTAACAATAATAAGAAATTGTAAGCATCTATCTACCAAATATGAGCCACTTTATTTGCACCTTAAGAGAGAAATTATTGAACAATTATAAAAATTAGACAAGGAAAAGTGAGGTGCAATTAATTAAGTGAAGCGATTGGGGATGGAAACATTTTTCAAAATGACAATTTGATTTTTAGCTAACAAAAAAAAGTTTAGAGGGAATGCAATAGCTAACAACAATATTTGTAAAATAATCTTTTAACCCTCTGTAAACTTTGGATAAATGTGAGCAAATATGTACATAAGATGTTTTTACAGACTTGTGAAAAACTGAGAACAACTTAATTTAAAAAAATACTTCACATCACAATCAGATATATAAGAAAACAACAATCTGTGAAACTTCATCATTACGAAAAACGGTGTGAGAAATATTCTGTTTAATTTGTGCTATTAAATAAATTAATAAAATATTAAAATTTAGAAAATAATGCAGATGGAGTTTATTTATTTAGATTGAATGACACAGATATTAATATTAATTTTAGATATCTTAGATAGATAGATGAGAAAATTAGTATAGCATAATTATTAAATTAATTAATGTATTTACTTTTTTATGAATAATTGGGTGAGAGTATGAAAATAATTAATAATGGACAAAAATTGAGTGTTCTTTAAATATTAATATGCTATTTACTTAAAAACAAACCTTTCAAAATTACATTTAATTCAATTGCATGAAGTGCACCCCGGTGCGTCAAAAAGTACCTCCCTTCGACAAAATACTTTTCAACCTTATTCCAGAAAGGGGAAAGCTTAACTAATAAATTGTATATAAGACATTGCTCATACATTGGAAGTGACAAGGCTCCAACCGATTCAATCTGAAAGATACAAATAGGCGTTTATGACTACATTATATGAAAATACCAAAATATGAAACGAAGATGTAATTAAATTTGAAATTATGTGATGGATAAGAAAATTAAAAACCTTCAATTTAAGCTTTTGAAATATAGCACTTAAAGAACCACTATTTAGGTATTCCTTTGTAGAAATTATATGTATGTATCGCAACATTCCGGCTGCAGGTGTTGCTATTATGTTCCTCTCTGAATACAATAATAATCTAAATAAATAAAAACTAATATTATAGAAAAACAAATCGTATTAAAGGTTTGACTTTAATATTGAAATAAATAAAAAATACTAAAAGGAACCTAGTTTTTAACAATTGCCATTGGAAATCTGACTTCACTGATTTATCTTTTTTTTCATAAGGGTCAATTGAAACTAGTATGTGACATAATTCTTCACAAAGAGGGAGATTGGTAAATACAATGGGTTTTTCCATTATAAAATCAACACTATTATCATAAACAAAAATATGTTTTAAAAATTCTCAAATTGACAAAACACAATTTCCAGTAAACAAAACTGAGGAACAATATTTAACTACACGGCAGTCACAACCACAACTTAAACCTAAATTGTAAACTTCCGCTTTTCTAAGAATTAGGCCTCATGAATTACAGAAAATTTTGAATGTTTTTAAACATAAAAAATATCCTAAATTGTATTATTCCCCTATACAAGTCATTATGCAATAAAATTCAATTAGTTCATTTTGATATATAAATATATATATTTACACTACATGATTTAACTATAAGTTTAAATTTTTTTTAGCATGCATATCAATAGCAAATGTTCTGCTTTTGTACTAAAACATTTCAGCATTGAATTCAAAAACTTCAATTTTACCGCCTTTTTAAACGAAGTATGTTATACAAAACATAATAGCTTTAAATTAATTTTTAATATATATATTAAATTTATAAATATTCAATTATTATCTGAGCTATTAAAGTTTATATTTTTCAATACGTCAATTCCCTTTGACTTGTTTAATGGTTAATTTGTTTGGATTTGTTTAGGAATAGCAGTGGTTATTGGTTATATCAGTTCTGACGTGTGGCTGACAGAATGAGTGATATGTAATTCAACTGTTCCCTGTTGAGTTTTATATCAAGTAGGTTTTATGGCACCTACTAGAAAATCTGAAGGGCTGCTGGCCCGAGTTAATTTTCCCTTATACACTTTGCAAATGCTAACAAGTCGTCATGTTCTTGTTGGTGGAGGTGGAGGTTCAGCTAAAACTGGGGTTGCCAATGGTTTTGTATGTACAATTTGTATAATTTAGTAGAATAATAAACATATTCGCCTGATTAACTATTTTAGATTTGCAAATATTGCAGGAAATTTTTGAGTTATCTTATGACGGAACCCGTTTTTCTGCTGAAGAAGTTATTCGACATGAAACTGGCCCTAAAGTTGTGATGAACTCAGCTTGTTTTAGTGACAAGAAAAGTACTTTTTTAGTTGCTGGGCAAGAAAGCCACTGTCAGTTATACAGAGTTGGTATTAGCGTGGAGAAGGAGGTTTCCGAAGAATCAAGTATTATTCTTCTATATTTAAACTAATTTATGTTTCTGTACTGTCCCAATCTTGGGAGAAAAATCATTAAAATATAATGGTCTTCTAGTGAATGGCACATCGGATCCACCTAATCTCAGACACAGAAAAACTTCTAAAAATCACCAGAATGGGATCAGTGAAGTGACAAATAATGTTAAAAAGAAATTAGTTTTTAAATTCAACTCTGGGGATAGTATACAGTCTGATTTTAGGTAAGCCTAAATTTGTTTTGTTTTTGCTCAATTCTATATTATAGAAGTTTTTTGCTTTACAAATTATCTTTATAAGTTATTTTATATGTATATTGTCCATTTCTTGTAAAATTTTGGTAAATTTGAAGCATTGTCACGTTGTGTTGGCAAGTGCCCCAAAATCACTTTGCCCTACTATGGGAAAGCCAAAGTTTGCGGAGTAGCTGAAGGCATATGGATGAGACTGACCTCCAAACTCTCCTATTAATAAATAGCTGTGTGAACAGACATTTCAAACTCTTAGGTTACATTAGATGCTAAATATTGAAATAATTACAATTTTGTTTCAGACTCGCCAGAATCATATCTGGTACTATTTTGAATCAATGAATTATTAATAGGGTTGTTTTGAATAACTGCACAGTGATTGGCTCTAATCGTATTACTTTTCTTTTAATGTAAGGTTATCTACCCTTTTCTGTCAAAAAACGGATCTGTTCAGCTAGCTTTGACATTTCAAGAATAGTGTGATCTTTGTGCATCTGTCACCTAATCAGTCTTTCTATTTTTTTTCAGTCAAGGTTTGTACTATTTTGCTTGAAATACTCTTATCGCAAAATGAACGTGTCAATCAATCCTCTATAGATCGACTTGTATTGAAATTTTAGCCGATACTAAAATACTAGTCTGAAATTAAATTAACTCATTTTTATATGATACATAAGCATTACCTAAATTTGTTTGCTAATGAAGATACATTTTTTTCTGTTAAACACAATTTATATATTGATTTATTGCCCTCTCATGTCAGCCGATATCAATATCTGTATTGGTTAATCCTTAATATTCACTCAAATATTTGTTTTCATAACTTAAACTTTATCTTTGTTTCTTTTTTAGTTTCGAATTTCTCTTATGTTTTGTAACCAATAGAAGGAATTCTAGTTTTTTTTTTTTCTTTGTCTTCAATAACTTTGATCTTATTAATTTTTCTTATGAACTTAGCCTAAATCATAACCTACGTACCGGCAAACTGATTAAAACAAGGTTGCTAGCCTAATAGCATTTTAAATTCTTTTGCATCATTAAGGATACTTGAACAACTCCATTCTTCTCTAATATCCATTATTAAATGAACCTTTTGTTTCCCAGCTATTAATCCAAAATGGCTTTTAGTTCTTCAAATCTTGTGATAGTGAATTATTTCGACTTACTTTATATATATATATATATATATATATATATATATATAATATATATATATATATATATATATATATATATATATATATATATATATATATATATATATTGGTCGGCCCAAGACTTTCATGGAAGTCCTATATGGCAAACACAATTTTTAGAAAAAACATGATTATATTCTATTGTTTTTTTAGATCTGTGAACTTTTTGGATTTCAAAGTCATTGTATATATTTATGCTCCATTTTTTTTTTTTATGTGTATTTTTTCTGCAAATTTACTTTGGACATTAGCCCTTTTTTTTCTTATCATGTGTATAACATTGATTATTGTTTTCATATCAGTTAAAATTAATGCTATTATTATTTATATTATATTATTAATCGATTGATTAGAGGAAATGGTTTAATTAGGACCATATTTCCGAACAATCCTAAAGAAAGTTCATAAATTTAAGGTAGCTCATCACCTACGTTAGTGTTAAGATAAACTATTATTTATTATACCTTAACAATGGGAAGCATAAAATATTAGTACATATACCAAAAATTTTGTTAAGAAAAGCTAAATGAGTACTTATTATTTAGTATTAGTTGTTCTTAAGGAACCTTCATGAGGAATGTTCATAAATAGTTATAAATTATATTCAACCTATACTTAGGTGATCCTAAGAAATCTTTATTTGGAACTTCATAAACATTGCCTTACAGTTATATATTTAAATTGAACCATTACAACCTAAGGACCTTCCTTAGGAATGCTCATTAATACTTACTGTCTCAAAACATTTTTAAACTATTACACTCTCAACTATTGAAATAAAAAATAAATAAAAATTATAATACGTTACTTGGTATTTTACCATGTTAAGGGATGTACCATGTACCATTTACTGAGTTTTAATACCCTTGCTGATGTCATATTTCTATTGTAGACTTATAAAGAAATAAAAAAAAAAATATGATTGTATTTTTTTTTTTTTTTTTACTAATACTGTGTTGAAAAATGAGATACAAATATCAGACCATCAATATATGTGATAAATACCATAAATTATGACAATTCAGTACTCACATATAGTAATATTAAATACTGAACATAAATAAGTGTAAAGAGAAGAAAATGCCATATTTCACTGTTTGAAAAAATAAATAAAAACATTAGTGTTAATTGATTCTAATTAAAAAGATGCATTCTTCCATGATATTAGATAAAAAAAAAATAATAATTTTCATTTTTACATTTGCCGACGTTTCGGCCCGAAGTTCAGGCCTTCATTATGGCTAAGAAAAGAACCAGATAATAATAGGTATGAGAAACTATAACCATTGAATAATAAAGAATTAAAATAAAAAAGTGAAAGGTATAGACTAAAAAATGTAGGTAGAAAAAACTTTTAATAAAATGAAGTAGACAGAGTGAACATTAAAGCAAAATAAAGTAGGTAGAATAATAATAATAACAGAGAACTAGGAAATAAATAATAACAATGGCAATATAGTACGGACTAATTAAATAAACATAGTCGAAATAAGGTAACATAAGAAATAAAAAATTGTAATCTTAGAATAAAATGTAAAACAAAGAAAAGAAATATGAAGTTGTATAAGGCAATAATAGATATAAATAGAAAATTGAGATATTGTAAAATATATCAAAATATAGTGATTACGTGTAAGAGAATAAAAACTTAAAATAATTTTAAAAAGATAAATAAGCAAATGTATCCATATATAAAAAATAGAGATGAAGATATGGAAAATAGAGTGACGGGAAGGAGGAAAAAAAGAGAAAACTAAAATAAGAAAGATAAACGAACCTGATCAAACCAAAAGCGTGAAAAGACAGAGGTATAGTAGCAAGAGGGGGAGCTGTTATGTTGCCATCTTTAACTGTTGACTGAAAAATGTGAACTAAAGAACAGGAAATTTATATAATGGATGAGAGATATATAATAGGTAAATTCTATGAGTATTAAATAAAAGTTTCATTGAAAGAGGATGTAAATAATGTGGAGATAGTATAAAACAGAGATAATAAAAATTAAATAATAATAGAGTATTACTGAAATAAACGTAAAACGTGGAATTAAAGAAAAAGAATTGAAATTAAAGAGGTAGTATACTATAATATAGTATAAGTTAAGGGTAATATAATGTAGAGTAAATTAAGAAGATAGTATAATGCAAAGATAATAAATGTTAAGTAATAATGGAGAATACCTGATCTATGTGAAACATGAGATAAAAAAAAAAAAAAAAAAAGGAATTTTAATGAGATTGAAGAAAAAGAAAACTGAAAGTTGAATGGAAATAAGTAAATCTATTTATAAAGCAATTAAGGAGATGGTATAATGTAGAGGTAATAAACATTAAATGATAATGGAGTATTAATGATCTAAGTGAAACTAAAGAGGAACTGTAATGTGATATAGTATAAAATAAGGATAAAATTGTATAATAATATAATATAACATAAATTAAGGAGATAGCATAATGCAAAGATAATAAATATTAAGTAAAAAATGGAGTATAACTGGTCTATATGAAATGTGAGATTAAGAAAACGAAAAGGAATATATTAAATAAGATTAAAGAAAATGAATTGAATTAAAGAGAAATAAGGAAGTTGTCAGCGAAAAGGAAAAAGGGATTGTTATGGATGTTTTAATAAATTACATAAATAAGTTATCGTTTACCGTATTCTGTGTTCTACCTCTAATTGCTTTTCATCTTATATTGGTGAAACCAAAAATCTATACCTTGCACTTTATTATTAAATGTTTATAGTTTCTCATACCTATTGTTATCTGGTTCTTTTTTTAGCCCTGAACTGAAAATAAATATTATTATTTATTTTTGCTATTTTTTATTTTGACTAATCACCCCAACCATACTTCCCTTCAATTATTCACTATAGTCAATCATCAATCTACAATAATAATTTTCCTTGTTTTTTTCCTCTTATCCTTTAATTGTCTTCTCATTTTACTATTATTCATTACTTCTTCTCGTTATTTATTTCAGTGAAAAGGAACCATGCCAAAGGGTAGTTACAATATCTCGTTGTGGCGGTTGGATGGCAACTGGTGGCACTGATGGTATTGTAAGGATCTGGTCATTTCCTGGCCTTCGAATGATTAGAGCTCTTAAGGCCCACACGAAGGAGCTGGATGATTTACATTTCAGTCCTGATTCAAAGCAGGTGTTCTTTTTCATCGTTTTGAATGTTTATCGTGGATGGCTAGAAATTAAATGTCAAATCTGTTTATCTTTAATTATTTTCGTTATAAACATTCCATTGTTTTTTGCAGTAAATTATTGTTGTAAAGATTTCAGGTATTGTTTCTATAAATAATTAGTTAATTTAACTTTTCTAAACTTTGTATACCTTTAAAAGGCATTAGAACTCAATATTTTTAAAAATTATTTAATATTAAAGAGAATTAATGTTGTTTAACCCTTTTCCCCATTTACCATTATTTTTTTCAAATTGTGGAATTGTGGCATGTTTGTGAATTACTTTCCTGTTGATATGAAAATTTTAAGTAATCATTTTATTCATTATGTTGATTTTAATGTTCATAAAATTAGTAAAATATACTTTTATTCTCTGAAAATTTGGACCATCTTTAGTTATTAAAATAACATATTGCAATAATAGGTAGCCAGTGTGGCAAAAGATGGACAAGCAATTATTTGGGAGCTGAAGTCAGGAAAACAGATTCATAAACTTGATTGGACTCATCCTACAGGAATCAAATATCTCTTCAAACGATGTCGGTAAGTTATCTCTTTATAATTTCAAAGTATTAGTTTTCATTTAATTTCAACTCAAATGTGTAAACTGTATTTTCCTTGATATGCTTCTATTTCAAAAATTATACATTCGATATAGCATAAGTTGGAGAGAAGTGAGGGGTTGGTGAAAGATAATCAAGTAGGTATCAGTTTTATCAAATTCCATTTACTACATCAAAAAAATTCTCTCCTTTATGGATATATAAATGTATTTTCTTTCATACACTTATATTCCATCGACTTGTTTGATATAGTCCAAAGTTAAAGGCAATTTGTGGATTAGTTAACAAATGGTCTAGCATGAATTCATCAAATACAATTTAACAATTTGATTAACTAATTTTATGAATATTATGACTGAAAAAAAAAATAAAAAAATTTTGTATTCTGTAGTCAGTTAGATTTGATGAAATTTTCAAGGGTTGTGATTGCTGATGTCTATATAGTCTTCTATAGATATTGCCAAATTCTGTATACTTCTTTCGATGATGGGTGTGTTTTTCCTTGACAAGATAAATTTTAAAAACAGCTTGTCCTATAGATTTTAATCTCATATACCTAGAAATATAGGTAATTATGTATGGATCTGGTAAGAAAGCTAACTGATCCTATTACTTGGCAAACTTTTTTAAAAGTTTAAATATATGTTATCCATGTCCAAGAAGTAATGTTATATCTGCAATTGTATAAAAATCTGGGCTCCAGTTATGAGGTATCACTTAGCCTCCTAGATACATAAGATTAATTAATTTTAGACAGAAAATGAATATTTCAAGTTTATAAATATATGAATAGTTTAATAGTTTCTGTGTAGGAATTGTCACATTCACATTGAAATGTTTTTGTTATTACAGGTTCGGTGTGGTTGAGGGTAAAGGTTGTAGATTGTTTACTACAGCTAACCCTGTGGCTGGTGGGAAGGAAGCCCAAGGCTGGATCCACGCCTGGGACGATGGTCGTATTTCCAAGTCGACTGCTGTATCTGAACCTACTTCAGCACTTGCTGTTAGAGACGATGGTGTTTTCATTGCTATTGGCACCATGTTCACAGGATCTGTATCCATTTACATAGCATTCTCCCTTCAGGTATTTTAATCTAACAGTATGTATTACTAACAATTCAGTTATATAATTATTACTAGAAGTTATGGCTAGCCAACAGGTTTGATATGTGTTTAAAATTGTCTTCGCTTCAATTATCTCTTGGATGGTAAATATATTAGAGAAACATGTGAGAACTGATAAATTATCTAATATATATCTATACATTGAGAACAATTGACAAATTTAAATTTTAATCCTTAAATCTGTTGTACAATTACGGTAAAATCCATTGAAAAAAGGTTTTGAAGCTCTGACCTTATTAAGTGACAAATCGAGACGAAAATAATTGTGTTTTTAAACATTTCAACCAGGCAGTTCACAATTTTTTTTAAAAACGTTTAAAGCCCAAAAATGTATCATCCGTGAGATAAATTGTAATTCTTGTCTAAAGTCTCCTATATGTTATAGTTACCATTTAGTTTTTTAAAAATTAAAATATTGTTATTTATTATAATCAATTACCAACTAAAAGTCTATTTAAGATGTTATTAAAAGAGAATAGTTCTGAAATATCTTGGGCAATGAGGACAGGATTGGTAAAAAGCACCACAATAGGACCACTTGCACCAGTACCAGTGCCTTGGGCACTTCTGATAATATAGAAAAACAAAACTCTGATATTTCCTAACTCATTTTGTGGCTACATTTTAATTTTATTGGTTGTCAATTTTCCTATTTTTAGTTGCCAACAATTTTATCTAGTATGTCTTATATAGATAGATTAGTAAAGTCATGTGAATATGGCAGAACTTTAATTTTCTAATCAGTTAATGTAAAATGTTCTTTAATTAGCTATAATAATAAAAAAAAGTACATGATCTGAAATTGAAGTTCTGCTGCATCCTTTATATTCACATAACGTTTCTCTAACTGATTACCATTTCCTCATAGTGCTTGACATATTTTTTTTTAATAAAAAAAATATAACATATCATTTGCCTCATATCCTAGAAACTTAACATTTCATTTGTTTTAACTCAATAGCAGTTACTAAATTTTATTATTTATAAAATCAAAAGTAGGGGACTGCATTATGTATGCTGGAGTTTCATTGTGTATTGGTGTTTGTTCTTGTAATTATAAACAATGTTAATGTATTTTACATTTACCTGTTTGAATGATCTGTTTTAGAGAGTGCTGCATGTTGAGGGTGCACATTCAATGTTCGTAACTGGGGTTGAACTGTTACCCTGTTCTTCTGCATGGGGTGCGATAGAAGCTGCTGCTTTAAGTATTTCTGTCGATAACAGAGTCTGTATTCACAGCTTACCATTCAGAAGTTAGTATACATTACTGTTAACAACTGTATGTAATTCTTACTTCTATTTAAGTAAAATTATTTATATTTTATAAATTTGAATAATTATATTCATTAGTTTTTTCAATCCAAAAGGAAGTAACCATTACCAATATTGTACTTATTTTTTCTCTTTTATCATCACAAATATAAATAATTAATAAGGATTTCTATTTAAAATAACATAGTTGGAGACAGTTTCATTATGTTGTTATATTTTGTTAATGTGGACAATTGTCTGTAGAATGTTTTTAAAGTACCAAGTAGCTGATTTTTAGTTCAACTCTACCTCCAAAATAAGTAAGTTTATTGATTGAAGCAGATATTTTTAACATGTTGGTCTGCAAATATATTCAGTGGACCTTTATGGAGGAGACCCACAATATTTCAAAAGATGTGGAAAATTTATCTGAAATTTAATAATGGAACTTTATTAATATAATATGTATATATATATATATACATATACATATATACAAACACACACACATATTTATTTAAATATGTGCTTGAGCCATTGAAATTTGCAAAGTTTTATCCTTAATATATTCAAATATTTCTGTGTTTAGAACAACTTATATTCTTTTTTTGTATATTATTCCAACATAAAACAATATTTTTTAATTAATTATATTCAGAAGGATGATTATATGAGCTATTTGTATCAAGGTTGTTATTTTAATTTTCTTTGTTAAAGGATTGTATAAACTTAAAAATCTTATAGTGAAAACTTTTTTGTTTCAGAAACGTTACCGCCATGGTTAGTGATCATCATTATTTTGTTCACTCTACTGTTTACTTTTGTATTGTGCAGCTTCATCGGCCTTTAACTTAACTGATTGTTCTGACACTATACTGTGATCATTTTTATTTATTGTACTATATAAATATAATTATAAAAGTATAGAATATTTATTGTAAACATATAATTTTTAATTTGCATTTCTTTATTGTTGACTTATTGTTATTTCATTCAAATTCCATTCTTGTTGAAACTCTTCTTATTTTATTTGGTTTTGACATTCAGTTTGTTGTTATATTTTTTATATTTTATTATTAATGTTGCTTCTCTTTGTGTATCCTTTCAACTTCCTATTTCAATTTAGGAACAGAAAGATAATGAATATATAAAACAGGGAAACGGTCAATTGTTAAAAAATAAATAAGTAAGAAAAAAAATTACAGTATAGTTTAAATTGAAAAAATGAAATGAAATTACTGTAAAAACACAGTATTATAAAACCACACTTATAAGTAATGAAATATTTTTTTTTTTATAAAACACCTAAGCTTACCACTCACTTGAATATTTCTCCTGTCCTGGTCATTAATTTAACACGATAAATTGAGAATATACAATTAATATGTATAGTAAATAGAGAAATAATCCTGAAACGTCAAAATAAAATTTAATTCTCCAAACTCTTTTGGATTTAAAATTTTCACTTACCAGTTTTTTATGTTAACAGTTAACAGTAATATATTTCTTTTCTACTATAACATAGCATTGTATCAATAAAATACTATTTTCTTAAGAAGTATTATTATTTGTTTTAAGTTCTTGTAAATCGAGGGGAAAATGTTTCACCAAAATTTGTGCAGTAGGTTCTCAAATTTTGTATTTTACACTTTTTGAATTTTCAAATTATTGAGGGGAGGGGGAGGATAGACATCTTGTCCCAATAATGCCTTACTTCACTGTGCCAGAACTGCCGGGAGAGTTAGTATCAATTAACATGTGCCTGTTAATCCTTTTTTGCCAGTTCTAATACATGTAGGGATATCAAGATTCATTTTGAGGGTCTGGTATAAAATTTGTCTTCTCTAAATCCCTATTTCTTGTTCTACTTTGAGTTCACTCCCCCCCCCCCCTGAGAAATTATCATACAACGTTTTTCAAGGGTGTCTGAAGGAGACCATTTCTCATTGCCATACATCATTTTATGATAAACTATGAGTTTTATGAATGAATTATAAACTCATAGTTTTCATCAATGAATTGGTTATTAATAAAGGTTACTTCTCATGTACTTGATAATATCTACTTTCAGAAAGATTTGACCTCCGACAATTATGCTCTCTTCTAGGCGTAAAGTTCGGCTTCTAATCACATACTTCAATGAATAGTGTATGCAGATCTTGTTCTATGGAATCCCTTTTTTACTTTCACTTACTATGTGTAATATATAGTAAGTATTGTGATCGCCAAAATTTTCAAATCTGAGCTTTCAACAGAAATACACGCTTTGAGGTCTCCTGAGTCCAAATAACCAAGTTTCACAAAATGGTCTGTGTATGTGTGTGTATGTATGTGAACAGCCTAGCTCAAAAACGAAAAGTAAGAAACTGAAATTGCATATTTTAGGTTTTCATAAGCCTAGGATGTTACAGCAACATTTTCGGCAAACGTGAAGTGGTACTTTATATCATTGATTTAACTAATTTTTACGATTTTGATTAAATTCACTGTATCAGTGTATTATTAAGCAGTTTTTAATATGATGTAGATTTTATTCTCATTGATGTTCTCTAACAGAGCTTAAACGGCTAATTTTCAATATTAGTCTTCCTCTAAAGTACTTTTAATTATTATTTTTTAAAAATAAACTCCATTCAACATTAATCTTTGATATAAAAAATAGTTAAATATAAAATATGAAAGAATTTGATAATTAACCAAAGAAGAAATAAGAGGTCATAATGGGTAATCGTAATGGAGAAACCAAAGGGTATGACCACGCCCGAACAATGAAAGATTAGAACAGGCTTTCATACGTAACATGATCTTAAAATAATACGGACTCTGACGATATGTGATATACATATGCGGTTTTCATAAATGCTATCGTTGGTTTTATTTAATTGTATAGATTACAGCGATAGAAAAATTGAAATTTGTACATTTAAGGGAAATTAAACAAATAAAAATATCCATAATGAAATGTAAATATAGCGTCTTTAATTTTTACTTTCAGTTCTCCTTTGTCTGAAAATATGTATTTTTGCTAAGAAGGTGGTAAGTGAAAGTCGTATGATGCGTGCACCAGAATTTTTATTAACTCTTGAACAAGGGGTGTGTAAGTACGTGATCTGACCAGGATCACACTCAACCACCAGATTTTCCCCTTAAGAAATGGTATACCTGGTGAGATTGAGGATTACACATCAAGAACAGTCAGTGGTTGATCAGAATCGAACCAGAACCTAAGAGTAAAGAGTGCTCAATGGCTTTACCTATTGATCTATCCTACTCCTCCAGTTTTTTAATGATATAAAATAGATTTTAGTTTTCAATAACAGCATAATGGCCATAGCAGTTTGTAAAACTTTTTTAGGATGATTGAAAAGACAAAATATAACTGAGGATAATGGATAAGAATTTACTAGAAAAATATAATAAATTAGTTTTGTATAGTTGAGTATGGTATAAAATGAAAATTTTTAATTCTATTTTTGGCCATTAAGAAGTAGAAAAAGGGGAATTCAACTAAAAAATATAACGGCCTCCCATTACTATAAAAATAATTAAAAAATTGGTTAAACTTAATTTTTTTTAATAGCTTATGCTTGGAATAGAGCAAAGAGGTGTAGTTCAACAGATATGGGATTGGACCCTAATTCCTAGGGCTAGCTATGAAATTGCCGGATTTTGGCAGAAAATCAGCTATTCAATCAGACGTGAATTGGGAAATCTTCCTGAAGTAGGCTAAGTGTCTATAAAGTAGGTACCCTACAAGGTCCTTCAACATGTTTAGAAAAAACAGTAAGTAAGCTAAATATAGCAACTATCCTTCATGGGTTTTAGTAGTTCTTAAAATTTTATTTCCTTTATACACTTTAATTGTGATAATTATCACAGGTATAGGCGCAGACTTCTGAGAAGGGAGAAGCCCACACATAAAAACAGAGAGAGAATATTGTTTTGCGCTTCTAATATTTTAAAGAGGAGTGGGATAGTTCAGAGGTATGGTACTGAACTTCCATGTCCCAGGTTCGAATCCTTGCTCATGGCAGAAAAATTATTTATTCTGTTTTATCGGCCATGGGAACATCCAGCCTCTATAAAGTGGGTACCTTTGATAAATAATTAATTAAGGGAGAAAACCTGGCAGTTTAGTGTGATCTGTCAAATCAATCACCTTGCATAACCATTGACTAACAAATAGTACTGAACCCTAGACCATTACTCCTTTTTTTTCAAAGAACAAAAACAAAATAAAAATTCATGACCATTAATCTACATGAAAGAATAAAGTATGTAAACTAAAATCAATTGAGAAAAAAGTCGACAAGATGGCTAAGACCTAGAAGTAGGTATGCAAGTATTTTACCACATCTTATGTTCCTTTTATTGAAATCTTAATTTATATTAAAATATAATTATATATATAGGAACATATCGTAGGACTCTATGATTCATTCATGTGCACCCTTCCATTTTTATGTTTAGATTTTATTACATTTTTCCCAGAAAATTTGAATCATCAGAGAATTGAGAGTTCTCACTACCTCAAAATAAAAATATATAATATATTTCATTGCTTTGTTAATATATTTTCAAATATACCCATTAAAAAAAAAATAGGTATATAAATTTGTTTCCATATATGTATTATATTGTTTGTTTTACAATAATTATGCTGATTATGTTAATTTTTATACATGATATAAACTCCCAAGACTTTTTTGGGGGTCCATCATCCTCCCCAACCAGAATGGAAAGTCTGCTCCTATGATCACAGTGGATAATTTTTTTTTATAAATGAATGTATTTAGTATATATTTCATATATATATATATATATATATATATATATATATATATATATATATATATAAAGAAAATTAATAAACAGATTTTGTTTCAGAAACTAAAACACTTTTATTAAAAGGTTAACAACATATAAAATTTCCCAAAACATTAAACTTAAAATCAAAATAAAAAACTTAATTCTGAAAATGAATATTTTAAACCTATAAAAATATATTTAGAGGAACAGACTGGGACCTAAAACGCAGAATGTGTTTGTTCATGAAGATATAACAGAATTTTTGACAGTGACTAAAATCTATAATTGTTTATTAGTTACCTAAAATTTATTTAGTTAAAACATTAAAATTAAATTGAAAAAGAAAAATGAACAGACACTGCCATGCGTGATATAAGTAAAACTTGAGAATAGAATATTTAAAAAAAAATTTAACAATACAACAGCAATGGTATATGAGAAATATTGAATTTAAAAACAATCCCTTCTTCGTGGACCAGTCTGCACCTCAAGATTTATTCTTAAAATAAACAGTCTTCAATTAAAATTGATAGCTATGGATTAAGATTATAACATAATTGAACAGTTTTGCCTTCACTTTCTGATACTGATAGAATGATAAGGATTATTGTCTTAGGTACATATGTATTTTTGCTTAGCTCAATACCTTGGTAACATGTAAATACATTACTTCAGTCATTATTTTAATTAAGTCTAATCATTTATAACCATATACAGCCAGTTTGCACCTTAATATTTATTCTTAAAATTAACAGTCTCTTCAATAAAAAAATATTTGTTAGCTATTGATTAGGATTCCAACAAAATTGATTAGCTTTGGCTTTATTTTAGGATACTTATAGAATTATAAGTATTAATTGCCATTGGGTAAATATGAATTTATGCTTAGCTCAATCAATCAATACCTTGATAACATATAAATGCATTACTTCATAAATGTTTAAAGTAAATCTCCACCATATTCATATCAGTCAATAATGGTAAACTTAATATATGATTAAGATGATTTGGTATACATTGAAACCCTAAAATAAAAAGACAAGTACACGTTCCTCAATTGAAAACAATATGACATTGATACACACGTAGTTTCCTTTGCCCATGCTTCAATAACAAAAAAGAAATTACTTCAGCAGATATTTTAACTAATTCTACTATATTCAGACCCGTCTTAAATGATAAACCTGACCTAATATTAGATAAGTTGAATTGGTATTTATTGCACCCATATATTAATGTGTGTACTACTAAACCTAATTGAATATTCTTTCGCTCCCAACCTAAATTACTTATTTTAATAGAAAAATATAAGTCTTTTTTAAATAGAGAAATGCATAATTTGAGCCAATAAACTTTAAAATATGTACATACCATACAATAGAATATGGAGAATTATAAATTTAAGAGCAGGTAATTAGGATTCTCAACATATGTTTTCCACAAATTACTGAATCTTGCCATAGTAGCCCCATCGATAATTCTGTGATCTGCAGTCCAAGATGCAGCCATTTGATAAACTTTAGAAACATCTCCATTCTCTGATATTGCAGGAACCAAACGTGTTTTTCCTAAAGCAACAATACAAACCTCTGGGGGTAATATAAGAGGTCGAGCATATGTTCCTCCAATGATACCAATATTCGAAATAGTTATGGTACCTCCCATCATATCTGAAGGACCTAGCCTTGATTCTCTTCCAG